CCTTCCCTACACAGCTCCAACTCCCCACATTGCTGTCTCTCCCCCACAATGCCCATCCCCTACACAGCTGCCCTCACCTACAATGCTACCGCTTTCCCTTCAATTCTATCCCTCTCAAACAATGTTTCCCCTTCCCTAAATTGCTCCCACTCCCTACAATTGTTCCCACAATACCCCTCCCCTACAATGCTGTCCCTCTTCTTTTAATACTGTCCCTCCTCCACAAGAGAGAGGGGGTGGGGAGAGAGAGAGAGAGAGAGAGAGAGAGAGAGAGAGGGGGGGGGGGGGAGGGAGAGAGAGAGGGAGAGATAGAGAGAGAGAGAAAAAACGAATGTCAATGTCAACAGCCCAAAACATTAATTAGTAAATATTTTTATTTCGTAATTGTATTTAGCTCTGATTGCGTCCTTTTGGATATTTCATAGCTAAACTTGTTACACGCCGCTGATCACAGCATTCCGTTATAGTGTGACAAGAACGACAACTCTAAGTACAAATTAACTATGTATAAACAATATGATGTACTATGATGTTTATTTAGTTTGATAGTTTAGTTTAGCATATCTGGTTTGTCAGGTGAGCCTTATATAGATAGTATCTTAATACACATGACTTGCAATATTTACATATAACCTGCAAGCCTTGAACGTCACTGTAACTCAAACAACAAAAATACTAATGGGGTTTACTGAGGGAAAATCGAACAGTCCCAACGTCGGCATGATGCTTTTATTCAGACACAGTTTCTAATGAAAGCGATATAATTATCAAAGTTCGCACTTGTTGAACCCAGATGGCCCGTAGTAGTTACACCTGAAATCTAGAGGATGTCATGATCTACAGTAAAATGCATTGATTTTTCTAACCATAATAAGTCTAAACATCTTTTATAAAAGCGTGAATATGTACAAAAGTTTCATATTACTTGAAAGCAGTAAGTTACAACATACCGATTTCATGTAGTCTACTTACACCTTTCATGAAGTCTTGAATTTTGTGTATGGATGCAGGAAATTCTATGTAATACAATGTGCCAGACTTTGAATTTTATTTAATCTGCGTTCAAGATTTGTTCCCCTTTTTTTCCTAGGCGAGAGGATTCCATTTCCCGATCGGACGTGAAAACGTTTGGGGGTCATCATCCCGATCACGAGGGTTTCCCAAGAATACTTCAGTTTCCTCCCTTAAGCAAAACTTATCCAGAATAACAAGAAAATATTTTTAACTTGACATAAGTTGATAGAGCTTGTATCCTCATTCAATTTTGTTACGCGTTAAACGTCCTCTCAACAGCCATGGTCAAACAGTGACGGACATCAAGAGGAACATCAAGACTGGAAAATAAAACATGGACAAAAGAGCATACAGGAAAGAAAGAAAAATATTAAGATTGAAAGTATTGCGATTATGGCAGACCATGAATTTTGTCTCTTTAATGTCTCTTAAATAAAAGGTATTTACAGGGGGAAACCGGTGATGCAAAGGGGACAAACTTTAAGTCGCCTCTTACGATCATGCAGTGGAAGGCAACACATCCAGTTCTTGAATTCTTCGATGTCCAATAAACAGAAGATATTAGAGACACCTTACTTACCTGGAGGGGTGCTCCACAAATAGACGCTACTTACGACAGCTACTGGGGTGAAACAAGCGTCAATCTTTACATGGTTTCGTTTGGATTTGCTTCTGGCGCTTTTAAGTTTTTGTTTTGTTTGTCACCGACAATTGAGATGCTGCGAGTTATGGCAATCGATAACTATTGGATAAATTAACCATAAAATATCAAATCTGCGTCTAGGGCAACAGAGCATGGGATCCGATTTGATACTAATATTCATGTGTGGAAATAAGAAAGCACGGATTACATCAGCTTTTCACAAGGATTCGCATGTCGATTTGTTACAGTAGAATAATTCGTTACGTGGCATGAAACACAAACACGCCGAAAAATATGGAACATGGCCCGACGCTACATCCGTTGACGGCAGAAATGAATTGATTTGGACAAATACTCCAACAAACAACACGAGGGTAACTTTAAACTGTTTCTGAAAAACTGTTCTGTAACAAGCTGGCGATCCATTGTGACTTTTTGAAATATAAAACATATATATCCATATATACTTATGTATTATTTTGTCACCGAGCTGTTTGTGTGGTCATCAACCTAAACGACGCCGAAGTCTTACTCGTTTCTCATGAAGTCAAGCAAGTTAGCTACTAACTTTTTTACAAATATTCTAATAATTTTTCTAGTTTGTGGAATTATTAGCTAGCAAACATGATGAAGGTTAAAATGTTGTAAAATCTTATACAGCATTTACACAGGGATGAAAGCAAATATTGTCAACAAAAGTGATATTCATAATAATTGCCATGTACATTCGGTGTTAGACAATTTGGTGATTTGTCCTGTTTCTTGTTGTTTATATATATTTCTAAATGATTTTCAAAAGTGATTTAAAAGAGAATGACACTGAACTAAATTTAAATGTAATATTGTGTCGACAATTTGGTGATTTGTCCTGTTTCTTGTTGTTTATATATATTTCTAAATGATTTTCAAAAGTGATTTAAAAGAGAATGACACTGAACTAAATTTAAATGTAATATTGTTCGTGTCGTTTTCCGTGTTACCCTATTTAATTAGCTGAATCACCGTGTTACTTGCAAATGAATACTCCGGTATATTTTAATGTATTGTTACAGTATAAGATGAAATTCCATAGTTAACGAACTAAAATCGTGATTTTCGGTAAAGGGAGATGGACAGGAGTACTCCTGACCTTCCAATACAATCTTATTTCCCTATATAAGTAAAATCATATTTCTGTCACTATTTATCCGTCGAATGTGTCTGTCGTGGATAATCAATTCAACATTTCCTCCGTTGTCTTTACAGCTCATGAACAGCATGTTGTACTTGGTAAAGGATGTAGTACTTTGTTAGGCCTTGTTTTGATTTATTTGACCTGTCGCTGCTAACTCAACTTAGGAAGTCTTTGGTACATTTCAATTTTAAATTACATGAATTATCACCACAAAGCACATTTTCAAATTCGTGAAATATATTTTGATGATTAGAATAATTTAAAGACCAGAATAAAAATAATCCAGTTTGTTCCTTGATCTAGGGGAAAATTGCAAAAGTAAAAAAGCAGAGACACACATTATTTTTTTAGAATGAAAGTTATCCTCTAGTGTTTTCTACTTCTTAAGTACCATGAAGTGGTCAAAAACAAGGGATATAAAAATAACTGTTTAAAATTTTCATTTTTTTTTTTTTTTGGTTCCTATACAGATACAAGTTGATTACATCAAACAATAACTTAGCATTTTCACACTGTTTTATCATTATTTCTTTTGTTGATAGTCAAGTATCATACTATAACTTATTTTAATGAAAGACGAAAATGTATTTTCAAAAACGTTGCCGAGAAAATTTCAAAGATTGTCTGTTATTCAGAAAAAATAATAATAGTATGTAAAAGGGAACTACTTCCTGATGCACGTATAGTGTATTCTGGTTTATCAGTAGTGCTGCAACATACTGATGTTTAGTTCTTGATTTGTTTTCAGAAATGTAACATGATAAAAAAAAAAAACAAGAAAAAAAACAAAATCATTGCCATATCTTTAAGTTTTTATGCTCCTCCATGTGTCCCCAAGAGTAAAATATTAGTTAAACACACTTATTTATTAACCGGTCACTCGACCGGTTGCTCTGACAAAATCTTTCCTGTTTATATCTAATTTAAGTATTATTCTATCATGATTAAATTCGCAAAATTGTGAAACAACACACTCCAGTAGTGTAATCCAGTAGTAAAATCGGATTTTTAAACACTACTTTTTACCTTTTTTTACTTGAATACTTTATATATGTAATTCCTACTGAACATGCGCCTTTTGTCCTACAGCCGGAAGTAGTCTGACGTTCCTTTCCCATAATTTCTCTGGACGGGCCTCTCGTATGTTGTTCAGTGTGATATTCACCAGCTACGACAAAGAACATTCCCCACCACCACCAAATACAAAAACATTGAGGCTATCGAATGTCTTCACTCTCCTGATTTTATATTTTCCCAACGCAGATTTTGGTGAAAATTATCTTTCAATATTTTATAAAGTTATAAGGGAGGGTACAAAACATCCAGAAATTTGTAACTTATCCGGAATATCCCTTTTCACCGGTTCCATTTTGTTAGAAAGGTTGAAATCCTGCTTAAAAATATTCTTTAGCAAGATATTCAAATGAACAAGAATTTCAGTATTGATTCAAGTGACTAATCAACACGCGCAATTTCTTCCCAGATAACACAGTTCTTGCTGTCACGAACTTTTCTACAACATTTCTGAACACTACTTCTTTTACTTTTTTCCTGTGTATGACTTAAGTTCATCCTACTACATGTTTTTAAAACGTATTGAAGACTTTATATGTGATCTTAGAGCATAGAGAACCTCATATCATGCTCGTTATTTCTTAGAGTATTTCAATATCCTGTAATGTTTCAACACTTTTAATGAGATAATTTGTCTAGTTTTTCATTCCGTTTGACATCGAATTTAAAATGCGAACTCGATGTAACAACTTTGTGGGGTAATGCACTAAGTTAACTAGGTACACTTAAACTATCGGACGACGGGAGATAACTCCTGTTAAAAAACACGTCAAAAGTTGAATATTGAATTTATAATGTTTGAAAATTAAAAGAAATTCTAATTCTATTCTTTTAAATATTTGTACATGATAGTTAATATAAATGTAGTTTCCATATTTTCAGGACACTTTTTGAACAAAAAAATTTAATTGTGACTCTAAAGTAAACCGGAGAAATTGAACATAAAAATGTGTTCGCCGTATTAAGTTACACACGCTTGCCGTCTTGGTCATTTGTGCGTTTTACTTGTACGCACAGAGCTATAACAGTTTGTGTTTAAAAGTGACATTGAGCAGATGCGGACCACGTCGGCGAACGAATTATCAGAAGACCTCCACATTGATGTAGCGAGTTGCAGTGCTGTTACATAAAAAGTTTATGATGGCAGGCAACAGCGACATCAGAAGACGAAGTGGCATCAAACCAAAAGGGAAAGATGCAGAACATGGTGATGGCGATCGCAAAAAGAAAGCCAATGCACCTGGTGGAGCGGGAATGATTTTTGGACTTGTTCTGGTTATTGTTGTGGCTTGCGGTGTAGGATATTTTGCTTATTTGCAGTATTGCAAAGGCATCGTTAACACGCCCTTAGCAGTGTCTAAAATCAACGCAGCCAACAGCTCAAGCGCTCTAGTCGACCCGGATAGATTCTGGGGAACCTATCGGTCAAATCTGTACTTTGGAATGAAAACCAGAACTCCTCGCTCACCGGTGTTTGGACTTATGTGGCTACAGCAGTTGACAGAGAAGATGCCACCTCCAATTCGACATTGGTGTGATCAGGATGACCAGTTGAGGAAATATGGATGGCTGAAACACGACGGCAGGAATTTTGGTATTCAAGAAATTGAAGAAAATGGTTTTGTTCTAAGAACGGAATTCGTTAAAAGAGCAGGTGGATTGCACGGAGGAGACTGGTCTGCGAGAGTTGTAGCGACAAATTTGGTATGTTACATGCGGTCAGTTACACAACTGCGAAGTGGGAGATGATTTTCTATCGTGTAATTTATTAAGATTCTTAATCAAATTAAAATGTAATCAGCATTTTTTGGATATTGGGAGAAGATCATGATATGACATATTGTTAGGATGATATTCAAAAGAGTGTTATGTCGTTTGAAATATGACAATCTTAAAAAGGTTTAAATGCTAAGAACAGAATAAAGAATTTAAGTTTTATTTCTTTTTTTATGATTTTGGTACAATGTTGATGGTAAAATTAGTGAACCTGCATGTTGGATGATTCTGCATACCTAAACCCACTTGTTTAGAAGTTGTCAAATGCAACCATTTCTTGAGAACAGGATCACTAAGTAAAATATCCTGACATTGTTGTAGTGAATTTATACAGATGAAAGTTCAAAATACCTGATATCAAAGATTATTAGAAATAAAATGACATAAAGGATCACCAGTCCCAACTGTATGTAGTCAAACGATGTAAATAAGCGTCAGATTATGAGATGATTAAAAGTTTTGTTTTAAATGTAACATACTGGTAATGTTACAAGATTCAAATGCTTTCTATTTGTCGATTGATGAAGCTGTATGAAGGAAAATGCTCCAATTAGGAAGAGTGCAAGGAAATAGTATCTTACATGTCTTTTTTTTGTCTGTGTTTGTCAGAATCTTATGTAGCAATTGTATTTCCTTTCTGGTTTTAAGTTGTGATGGGATGGGGCAGCTTATTAGATAAACTGTTTTAAGATTAAATGTAAGAGACAGGTTTTCAGAAAGAAGTTGGTGATTCTGACATTATCTTTAAGAATACAGGCCATTCAAATTCTTTATCATGATCTATGGCCTTAATGTATGTTCATTTTGACAAACTTCATTATCTATCAATACATCAAACTATGCATACATTGATAAAGTTCTCTTTATCTGTCATAAACCTTAAATACGTTGATAAAATTCTCTTATCTAACTGAAGCACAGAAACATTTAAAAAGTTAACTTCATATCAATATATCATGAAACATGAGTATTATTGCCAGTCAGAATTTTCAGCAGATTAGCATGAATTTATGATTGAAATTTATAGACATTATGAAGATACTATTTTTGAAGAAGAAACTGAGTATATCCTACAATATCCAGGGGCCAATACTTAAAATCTGGTCCAAAGTTCATTATGTGGCGACGGAAAAAAATTATTTTAATCATTGATTAGTATTTTTATGTAACAGGGTGCAGAGTGTAGGGCATGGGATGTTACCTAGATCTCTCTCTGTTCTGTCACATTCTGTTTTGAATAACTATTATGTCTTGAAAACCTCAGCAGATTTAATTTATGTAAGTCATAAAAAAATGCCATAGTATGATAACATCAAGTTCCAAACATCAGATTCTGTTTTGCACAGGAGTGACGTTCATGTCTTAAAGTATATTTTCAGTTTTTTTGTTTTTTCACATTGTTTTTTTTTTTTTTTTATTTACCACTACTCTCTCACTTTCTCTATCTCTGTCTAATGACTTTTCCTCAGCTATTTGACAGACTATAAATGTAGGTAGACTTAAAGCCAGGCATGGCCTTAATTATTGCAAGTAAAATTATAACGCCATATCTGCTGAGGTAAACTGATGTAGATAGAGCTTTACAAAATATGTAAACGTGTAATTTCCTGTTTATTGAGACAGTCTTTGAACCTGGTTGTCCAAGTCCAGTCATAGATAAAGAAGTTTATTTAATGATGTCCATACTTACACAAAGTTAAGAAATGTAAGTTAATGTCTTTAAATTTAGTCTTTAGTAAACTTTGGGGGCCAACAGTAAAGTTTAAGTGGGGAGGTTTACTTATTACAGAATGATTATATAGCATTTGTTGAGTCAATACGAAAAGTGCATTAAATGTGGATGGGCTTATTACCAGACATAGGCACATTACAGTATTTATATGGCAATGATCTGTATTTGTTGTTGTTTACAGGATCAGAAGAAACCTGTTGTACTATCACTGATGTACTATGTTGCCCTGGATGGTCAAGGTCACTTAGAACCTGAGATGACAAGAAACAGACTAAGTGCCATCAGAGGTTATTCCGAGGAACTTGGTGATTTCACTTTACATTTTCCTAAAACAAAAACAAAGACACAGACTAAATATAATCATCTAATAACATATACATCACGACTGGATCAGCTGAAAAATGTAGTCACCAACGCAATGAAGGTGGATGCTTGGGACAAACAACGCACTCAGCCTTACTTTGTACTTGGTGGTCGCCTTGTACCACGTGACAGTCCTGGAGGTCCTAACTTTATGGTCCAACAGATCACAGTTCAACTGCCATTTGAAATGGAAATTATCTTTGAATCTGGAAGTGTACAAGACAGACCTGATACTTTGTCTGATGAAATATTTTTAAAAGAATTGGCAAAGTATTCACAAGCATTTGATGAAAAATTTTCTGCCACTTTTCATCTGGAGGGTAAGGGATATGGTCAGGATGAAAGTAATTTTGCTAAAGCTGCTCTCAGCAATATGCTTGGTAGTGTTGGCTATTTTTATGGATCATCCATCGTCCAGTCTCGCTATAATGAAGATCCTGTTGAATACTGGCCTGCAGCGTTGTATAGTGGGGTACCTTCACGGTCGTTTTTCCCTCGTGGTTTCCTTTGGGACGAAGGATTTCATAATCTCCTCATTAGCAGATGGGATATAGAAATTTCAAAGGACATCATTTCTCATTGGCTAGATTTAATGAACACAGAGGGATGGATTCCAAGAGAGCAAATTCTTGGAGTTGAAGCACAAGCAAGAGTACCGAAGGAATTTGTTGTTCAGAGAAACGAAAATGCAAACCCACCAACTTTATTTTTGCCACTTCAAAGAATAATCAATCAGATATCATCTTCAAGTGATCCTAAGGATAAACAATTTATGAAGTTTGTTTTCCCACGTCTGAAAGTGTGGTATAATTGGTACAATTCAACACAGACAGGCAAACTACCACTCACCTACCGATGGAAGGGACGGGATCCAAAAACAAACAAGGAACTGAACCCCAAAACTCTTACTTCTGGCTTGGACGATTACCCTAGGGCCTCACATCCCACGGACGATGAACGTCATGTTGACCTTCGATGCTGGATGGCATTTGCTTCAGGACTAATGGTGGATATTGCTGAAGCACTTGGGGAAGATCCAGCAGAGTACAAAGCTACACATCAACTGTTAACTGACAATAAATTGCTGAATGAACTACACTGGTCCACCCAAAAGCAGCAATACTCAGACTATGGTCTTCACACAGATAGAGTCCAATTACAACGTCCCAAACCTCCGAAGAATCTGCAGCCAGGACAACCACAACCACAGCTTGACAAGATCAGAGCTGTGTCGAAGGAACCAGAGTATAAATTTGTTGACACTTTTGGTTATGTTAGTCTGTTTCCTTTCCTACTTAGAATAATAGATGCCGATTCTGTTAAGTTATTTCAGACAATGGCAAAATTACAAAAACCAGAATATCTCTGGACTGATTACGGACTGCGATCATTGTCTAAAAGTGCCTTTTTATATAACAGATACAACACAGAACATGACCCGCCATATTGGAGAGGTGCGATTTGGATAAACATGAACTATTTAGCATTAGGTGCTCTTAACCACTATTCTGTTACTCCTGGAAAATACCAAGACCTGGCAAAGTCTACTTATAAAAGTTTACGTCAAAATGTCGTACAGAACATTTTTAAGGAATACAGGAGGACAGGCTATATATGGGAACAATATAGTGATAAATTTGGCTCTGGAAAGGGGAGTCATCCATTCACAGGATGGTCAGCTCTTGTAGTCTTAATCATGGCTGAAGAATACTGACCAATCATGCTAAAACTGACCACTCAGGACAAAAACTGACTACTCACTTTCAATACTGATCACTCTCATTTTTGCTTCACACATAACCAGATCACCAATGTTTTGCATGTGATTATATTAAACTGATTGTAATATGACACTTATTTTAAATCATGAATCATTTTTGTTGATTTCTTGTTTGTTGGGACCACTGCCAGATTTTTTTATAGTGGTATTACACTGAAATGTCTTAATCTGAACACAACACCATGACACCCCTACCAGTGACATTATATTAACCATGAACCATATCAAACAGCAGGAAGGGATGAAGTACTGTTTTAAAGACTGGTACTCCACAGCTTGGAGACAAAACCCATGACCTTCCTCATTCATGTTCCATTCATTTCTCTTTACAAGTGGACTAAAGCAGTCGGTGGAATAAGTTCTGGTTTCATGATCAGTAATTGAATAATGCATAATAAACTGACTATTGATTTTAATCAGTTTCTTACATTGATTACATAATAGCTTGAATGTTCTATTTCTTGCATTGAAAATTATTGAAATTATTGTGAATTAGAAGCTTAAAATCTGCTACTGTACCAATATTTGTATATTTTACTTACATAGTAATTAATACCACTAATAAGATCCGTTTAAGACTGCTTGCTGTAAATTACCTTTAAATGAACATAAGAATGACAAATAATCTCTGCATTTCTGAGATCTTTGAGGGGCCGAGTGGTCAAGGCATCAGATGTCATTATCAGTAGCCTCCAACTCTGGGTTGTGGGTTTGAGACTTACTGTGGGCACTTGCCAGGTATTGCCTGCATGTCGTTGTTTTGGGTTTTTTTCATCTTTCCTTCACTTCCAAAACCTGACATCCTTAAATGACCCTGGCTGTTCATATGGCATAAAGTATCAATAAACCAAACAGTGATTCTTCAACTGAATGCAATTAATCGTCTTTGCAATTTCAACATTAATTAATTGGAAATGGAGTTGTCTCCCTTGTTTTGTGTGTTTTCCCTGATGGTATTCTGGATTCCTTCCACTTAAGGTCCCTCTGTGTGCTACTTTCAAAGCCTTTGCCAAGTGTCTTACCACTTACATGTGGGAGCCACGATTGTTAAGCCCGTAAAACATCAAACTTTGCAACCTTAGTTGAAGATCTGAAGTGTATAGCTTGATCCATACCTTGGGCAATTTTGTGTTTCTCAGCAAATTAAGATCATTGACCTCCCTGGCTGTCATGGATGTATCATTTGGCTAAACATTTTACTCTAATTGCTCTGGATAGAATGCAGTGGGCCTCTGGTATGACGTTCAGTGAGAAAGTCACCAGCTATTTCAAAGTGACTCTGTCTCAAAATGACTCTTGGTCTTTACAAGGCCATAATCTAGCAAATGTACCCAAAGTTATCTACCATTTAATGAGTTTTGTTCATTTCTTCAGAAATCCGTCAAAGTCAGTTACCTTATTTGTGTTCCATATAGGATTTGTTATCAAACCTGTCAACTTTTTGTTCAATCGAATAAAAAGCATATGGCCTTTTATATAAGTCCCTGCCTCTGCCCATCATCTCACTAGGAAAGCTGACCAGACAAGTGTAACTTGTAGAATCTACAAAACAATATATTCTCAGTCGTTTTAATGCTTTTTCTGCTCATATACCAAACTTTGCCAGTACTATGACTGAAAATCAAATATTGATTTCAAATTCTTTTGTCTTGATCTGCTAAAAACTGTCACATCTCAATTAATTTTAATATGGCACTTCCACTGCAATATTTTTTATTAAGAATAATCCTTTTGTGTATTAGTAAATACATTGTGCATTTATTTGGTTTATATAAAATTAATAGAAGTTACATATTCTTCAGAATATATATGTTGTATCCTATGAGACAAGTTTTAGAGGTACAATATTAATTAGAGCTATTCTATTCAAATGCAAAGTTTAGTCATTTTAAAGAATTAAATGGTAACAACTATAAGTGAAAATCAGGGTGATTTCTTTAAAAAAAAAAATTGGTAGATATATTTGGTATTCGATGAGGTAATTTTCTGAAGAAATCCCTTAAGAGGCAATGGGAACATCCACAAAAAGTCAAAAATTTTAATAAAATGTTACAAATTCTTTAAATTTTGTGGTTTACATAGCACACACTTGTAAAATACAGAGACGTCTTGCAAAATCATGACAAGTCTGAACTTTCCAAGGGTTTCCAACTTGGTAGAATACATTCTCTTTTTTCCTTCTTGGAACTGTTTTTGAGAGCACTAAGAGATATTTAATTTTTCACAGGCTGTGCAGGATATAGGAGGCTGTTAGTATTCTGTGATAAGGGATCATAGTCTCAGGTTTACAACAGCATTTTTAGTCTTGTGGAGGACTTGTTTTAAAATAACGCCAAAGTTGCAATGTCGTATCTACAAAAAATATATTTTTGTAAACCTATTTTGTTATATATTTGAACACTGATAATTGTTTTTAATATGTTAAGCAAATGTAGTAAATGTTTCATATTTTTAACACAATTAAAAACAATATTAAACTGAAGTATTTTTAATGATCTTTAATTGACTTTACTAATATTGATTGATACAACATTCTGACATAACCAACAAGAAACTGTGGTCCTCCCTCATCTTTGTCATTAACCAAAGTAGGTTCATCACAAAACCAACCAAATAGCTCAACCTCTTGCACTAGAAAATTCAAGTTTTATTAAAAGAGGCAATTTATCAATACCGATAATATACACCAAAAATGCTCTTTCTCTTAATAAATAGAAACATTCCAAACTTCTGGTAATGGATGTAAAAGCAGTCAAAGGTATATTGATACCTCTGTTAGGATTCAAACAGGGATCCCTTGCTTCTTGTCTGATGCTCAACTGATCGAGTTAAGAGTTCTCTTTAACCAAGCAATATATTGCGACCAGGGTTTCAGTATAATTTGATTAAACTGTTGTTCACTTCGACAACATCGGATTTCTTATCTAAAAAACTTCACTAAATTGTAACCAAATTTCGTCTATCTTTGTGAACTATAATTAAACACTTATATCTTCTTTAGGAATCATGTTTGCATTTTTATAATAATATTATTATTTAATAATAAAACTTGCCATTAAATTGATCTTGAATCATGATTAATGGACTCGTATATTCCTTGCTGCTTTTGTCCCTTGTTAAATAAATCATTTCTCTATAATTAAAAGTTCAAACACTAAGACAAAGTCTCAATCGAATTGAAATATTTTATTTCCTTTTTTGTTTCCACGATAACATATTCATCAGTGTAACTTTCATTTACACAATATATCTTAAGAAGCCTCCTTACAGTTAATATGTTATCACTGGAATGGGTTGGGTGAGTAAAATACAATTTTCCCATCACCACTTGTACCATTTTTTAACACCAATCTAGATCTCTCGTCTTCAATAGTATAACCAGAAGCTAATAGTAAGCATATTTGTTCAAGACGGGAATATTTCAAGACAATGGAACAGGGCAGAGATAAGCTGTAAAGGAAACTAAGTAATGCTGTACATCTATACACTAGACTCCATTCTCAAACTTTCATAAAAATTCCATCGCAGATTTTACAAGGCACCACTTTCCAGCAAATGTAATATATAAATTATACTCCTGTTTGTGCCATGTAACATCCACTGCATTTTATTATTTAAAGGAACATACTTAGAATTTTCTGAAATTAAGAATTTAAGAGGAAAAAAAATTGTAGTATTACATTATTCTGTGGGGCTGAATTATTTTGAAGATCCTGATGAAACACGTTTCTAAATAAGCTTGATAAATATTTCTGTCATAGATTTTTCAGTACCTCTAAGAAATTGGTCAATGTGTCAGGTTTGTTTCGCTTTACCTTCAAAATAAATATTTCATCTTCGTCTCCATTTGCTATGATCATAAATATTACACAAAATCTTTCGGAGTTCTCTTTAACTACCAGCAGATTTTGTTTACATTTTAACTTCACCATTTCAGTTCAATAACGGATCAAATTTCATCAAAATTTGGTCCTATGTAGCTATTGTGTGATCTGTTGACCAACCAGAGTGTAGTAGTATGCTATATGCAATTAATTATGCACAGCAACAACATCCACTGCACATTGGGCTTCAATGCTAGAAATAATCTTGGTTCCAATCTTGCAGACTCTTCAATATAACCTCGCTTGGACCAACTTTGTGGACTTGCAGTTAGATAAAGTAGGTGTATCAATAAATACTGTACAATACACACGTTTGAAAGCATCAGTCTAGAATTTTCTTTAAATGTTGTTTAATACAGAGCATTATCTCCAAAAGGGATTACACCTAGAACCTCTCTTTTATTAGCACTTTTTTTTATTAACCTCTACTGATTGAGCTATACAGGAATTCTCCCAAATGGAGATAGTAAGAAGCAATTAGTCTTTCATGTATATTTTTGCAAACTTTAATAAAATTGTTAGGACTTCTTACTTAGAAAGACTTTTAAAAAATGTTAGGTGTTGATATGTTTGACAGTGTATCTTTTAATACTTGCTTAAAAGATGTTAAAGCAGTGAGAATCACAAACAACATCTATGAACTTGTACTGGCTCAAGAATCCCAATAAGCAAACATATTGGGGAAATCGCACCAAAAACATATGCACTAAACAAGAATGGTTAGCCATGAGAAATTTTATATTGCACTCATCAATTTTAACACAAACAGTGGTTACACAATTATTGGTCAAAAGAGTGTGAAATTATACGTTCCTACATCAGAACTTTACCATGATTGCATGGTATTTATTACATCAGGCAGTCACACATGTTTTGTTCAGCCTCATTATTCAAGTCACCACAGATTCGGCAAGCCAGTCAGAGGATAAAGATTTCTTTTCCTCAGATGACCTCCTGTCAGTCAAACCGACTCCCTTGCACTGTGGACTTTCCTTCTAACAGCAAACTTTCTGTCCATGATATGACAGATTTTCTGTTCATCACTTGGCACAATGAGTCTGAAAATGTTTTCCCTTAAGTCTGAAGAGAAACCTTTACTTCAGTACACCAGTTTCTTAGCCCATATCAACGAAACAAAGGGAGGAAGGAGGGGGGAGGTGGAAATAGACTTTTCTCTCCATTTCAAAACCGAGAGAAAGTGTTCTCCATAAGTAGAATATCTGATGGCCAGATGTGTTCATAAGTACCCAGCTTTGTCAAAATGAATAGTCTACAACTAAAATGAAAATACAATGGATCCAGCAGACTATTAAACCAGTTATTTGTGCCTGATGAGATGAACTTTATACTAGGGCAAGCAGGTACAGCTAATTCACTTCTCATACACACACCTCACTAATGTAAATCTAAAAATAGAAAAAAAAATTACTTAAAAGCATGCACACATATATGTACTACATTATTACCAGATTACTTTCTATGGATGGGTCATTATGGGATTACTGCCCATATATGGGACATTTCCAGATTACCTCCCATACATGGGACACTACCAGATTACCTCCCACAGATGGGACATTTCGAGAGTACCTCCAACAGATCGGACATTTCCAGATTACCTCCTATAGATGGGATATTCCAGATTACCTCCAACAAATGGGACATTTCTAGATTACCTCCAACAGATCGGACATTTCCAGATTACCTCCTATAGATGGGATATTCCAGATTACCTCCAACAGATCGGACATTTCTAGATTACCTCCTATAGATGGGATATTCCAGATTACCTCCAACAAATGGGACATTTCCAGATTACCTCCAACAGATCGGACATTTCCAGATTACCTCCTATAGATGGGATATTCCAGATTACCTCCAACAGATCGGACATTTCCAGATTACCTCCCATGGATAGGATATTACAAATGGTCTATTCATTCAAGCGTACAAACTAGTTTACCCGCCCTTACCATTTCAGGCATAATCTGGTAATTTTTTGGATGTGTCTATGGTTAATATATATCAGTCAACATGGGTAATCTTTTGGCTTGCCTACTTTTTCTGTTTCAAATCAATTCTACACTGCGAATCATTAACAGTGGACAAATGAATAGTACACTGTGTTGGGTCCTGATGGTTAAGCGAGAAGTAACATCATTGATCTGATAAAGGAAAGGGAAGATTACAGAGGACTTCAATTTAATAGTAAAATTCTAAAACAATTTTTCTTCCTTTTTTTCCAGTATTAAACAAATTAAAAATGGTCCAAGAACAGGAAGGGAAGAAATTTGAAATTTATAAATTAAACATATCTTTTATTTTATTTTAAATTTACCCAAAATTGGGGTTTTACTCTTGATCTTTTACATCAACAAATTATGCAAATAACACACATGTACCATCATGTTCAGACATTTATAGTGTAACCCAGGAGTTGTTATGAACTTACACGATATTATTAGACAGCTATATCCGACTCAAGCAAAAATGAAAATAACACCTCATCCATAGTTTATTCACGAAAATACTACAAAATAACATTGACTAGCTTTGAGAGATACATTTGAATGTCCTTACTTGCTTGATTTTTATAGGTTATCTGTTGGTGTTTTTGTAAAGATTGTAATTACCTAAGGCAAGAATAGTTAAAATACTATGTGAAAACATTACCTATTTGACAAAAAAAAAAAAAGAAACAACCTTTCTATGATGTCTGATGTACAAATGCTATAAAATGTATAAAGATTTTAATATAATTAGTAATTAAGTAGAGAAACACAAAAAATTTCTTGGTTTCTTCAAAGTTGTGTGATTCCGGTATCATCCACCATTAACTATCATTATTACAAAGTACGACCCTTCACAGTATTTATATCATCTTTATCTTATTTCAAAGAAAAAAATTTGACAAAAGTCACAAGAACAACTCCGATGTCCCATTTTTTAAACTTATCTATCTGCCCTGGATATTGGATATTGTGAACAAGTCAAGCACGACAAAATTTTCTATCTAGTTGGATATTTAATGTTCCTGAAAGATTTTGTTTGCATGAACAGTAGGTCTTTGAGAACACAAAATTAAAATAAACAAATTTATTGTAAACAAAAATTCATTAGTGACAATATTAAATCATAAAATTCATCCACAGTTGCTTTTGCAAAATCTCACAAAACATGGTTTGGTGTACACAAAAGGCACCGACCCCTAAATTCAAAGTTGGTATAGCCTTTTCTTTTAACATGGATCAAACTAAATCCTTTTACAAGGGTTGAGAGGTAAAAAAGTAGTTTATATGATGTAGCAGTACATTACATACAATGCAACTATTAGCACTAACATCACAATTTCACATACATGTATAACATTTCCACATCAACAAAATGGGAAACAAGAGGAGTATTTTTTTGTGGACGACTATGATAGAACACAGTTACTGGTGCTCTTGACAATGACCTTTAAGTATGACCTTGACCACAACATATGACCTTGTCAGTTATTCCTGTTTCAAATCTCCCTGGCACTCATTAAATGTAGAACTATACCGACAATATTTTGAGTATACACTCAATTTTAATGAAAAGGTATATGCTTATGTATATACATATGTTTGTATATATGTATAAATTTGTACAGGAAAACTTTAATTTGATAATCAATCTCACAATTTTGTTCACGAAATTTTTATCTTATGTTATCATTATGTTAATAGTGAATTCATCTCCTCAAAAACCACTTCTTCATTGGCTGAATTGTTTAATTGATTACCTCTTATCCTAGCATTCTTGACCCTAAACTTGAGTTAGGTAGAGCGACTCATGCATGCATTTGACGTTGTACACAAAAAAGCAAAAATAATTTTATCATCCGCACTAATGAACTTATAGAACACTTTTTATACCCTTGACTAAAATAACGCTCTGTAATTCAAATCTTACTGCAGTATCAGAACACCACCTAAGCAAATACTTGAGATTTCTGTAGACATGGTCATAGTCCCACAGAACACTAGGACAGAACAGCCGTAATAGCACAGTCCTTTGGAAGGAAACAGCCTTCATTGAATGACCCCAGACAGAACAGTCTCGAAATTATTGTATCACAGTTCTCCGCGAACCCTCATACAATTGACCCCACCATTCAAACCAAGAAGAACAAATTGTGAAGAGATAATGCTGGGTGTTTATACATTTAGCAAAAGCTGTAAACTGCAAAACATAAATTTTTCAGAAAAGAATCAGGGATAAATTTCAACTTTTTAAAAAAAATCTTTAAATTCATCACAAAAAATAACCAAATAGGGACTACAAATATGTGAAACCATAAAGTTCAAAATTAAAATAAATGACTTTCACATCTTAGATATTGGCCACTTTCTCAGTATATATCTCTTTGGCAAAAAAAAATTAATAAATAAATAAATTTAAGTCAAATTATTTTTCCTTTCAAATGTGATCTTCTTGACCTGTATCCTTTTATAACAGAATGGTGTCATTTCAGAAGTAAGTTACACACACTGATTTCCGATGGCTGTGATCCAGTTCTGTAGATAAATACACCAGGTATGTACATGATGATAGTTTGTTACAAGCCGCATACTAACATTGATGTTGGGCTAAAATGTCTTTCTGTGAATGGCCTTCACTCCTTCTTCATTGTACTCACGTTTAGACACCCACATCTTCTTAAACGTGTCAAGTGAAGCTAAGATGGACCCACTGCAATACAAAAAGGAATTAAGACACTTCCTAACAAAAACAAGTATTTTCAACATTTACATTTTGGCAGTAACATATTTTGCACTTAAAATATTGTGTTACAATATGACTGTGCTAATTTCAATTTCCTTATGCATCTTATATAATAATGATGGTCAATGCACCAATTTATCAATATCCTAATTTCTAATTTTGTTTGTGCCAAATAATGTACATTTATAGTCATATTTTTACTCAGGGACATCCATCTTCATGTAAACTTTTAAAAGAAATGGCACTCATGTGACTATAAATGCAACTGGATCGGTATCCAATTGAAACTTCTCCTTTCTCACAATCATAAGAATCATTTCAATATTCAAATGGAGCTGGAATACCCTTTTTTAATTCAGATTTAATCGTTTAAAGATGGCAAATATTAGAAAACACTTTTCAAATTTTGTTCATTCCTCGTAGCTATATTTCACAAATGTTAAATTTCATTCAAATGAGTTTGTTGCAGTCATAAAATCTGCAGATCTGAAAATGTAGAGAGCTTTTCATTATAATTTTTGTCCAATAAAGCATTCATCTGTTTGCATCTGTGAAAACTTACCCTATCCAGGTAGAATATAATCTTTCTTGCGGTGCAGAAATCTAGAAATAAACAATATAGGTTACTTTCAGGTAAAGCTTAAGAAGGTGAGAGAATCAAGGGATGGAGTAATGACAGAATCCCATTACTGCATAAAATGGGGCAAAAGCCACAATTGGCCGGGTTGCGGGATGAGTGCAATGTTAAATGGTATTTATAAGACAGTTAGGGGTGTTTCATTTGTTGAGTATCAAGAAAAAACATTCACGATACTATAACCTGGATTCGCACTATGTGTAATCCACCCAAAAATCACACAGGCATCTTTGGCAAAGCGAGTTAGAATGCTCTGCATTGGGTGATGGTATGCAAATTAAAGACTGGATGAGTAAGTTAATTGTATGATACTTATACAACATTATTGGCATTTAAAAAAAATGACTCAAAGGTAAAAATCAGATAGAAATTTTCGCTTAGGAAATGACTCACCCTAATCTTTATATCCTTTGGAGATAGTTTCCTAACCTCACTAAGCAGTCTGTCACCAAAACCTGGGGGAAAATAAAACCAAAATATTAAAGAGATGTTTTTTTTTACAAGAAATGAAATTGAAATTACGTCCAATGTCAATTTCTCACATAACAAATCTTTATTGCATATAGGCAATCTTTAAAAAAATGAAATTTTACTTACAATATCACAAAATTGTTAAATAGTCAACATTGAATATATTAGTCAATACTGACTACACATAGAAAGTGGTACTTCAAGTTATCCCCTACATCATATTGGGCCTTATCCATTAATTACACTTAAGTTCAACAAAATCTCGATCAATCAAAAGGACAGCATCTGTCATCTTGAGGTGATTCTTGAACCTTGAAATTTGCTGTTTTATAGTTACACAATACCTTTGAAGAGTGTTGAACCTCCAGACAAAACTATATTAGAGAAAAGAGTGCGCCGTAGATCCATGTCAGACTTGCGTATAGAATACTCCAGCACTTCATGTATACCCTCAAATTCTTCACCAATCAGGTCGGGTCTAAATAGCAATTCAGGCGCTCTAAACCTCGCTGGTCCTACCTGTGATAAAAATCAAAGCTTTATCAAATAAACAGCTTTCTGATACTACACAAAACTAAAAGTAAACTTGATTCTGATAAAGATTCACTGTTTGTCTGTCCATTTTGACTAAAGAAATTCCCAATTATGTATTGATGAGATTTGATCCACCTACCGCTAATATAAATCTTCAAAACAAACCAAGATATCTAGGATATGAAGTGTAAACCAACAGACCAAACAACATAACATAATCCAAACTTACCAATACATTAACAAATAATATTTGGTGTGACTCACATATTATTTCAAGAAGGAAACATAGGCAAACAAATAAAACAATCACGATTATATAAATCTCCTTAATATGCATTGATACACAAGGATAATAATATTTATCAGTTCCAGAAGAAGTGTCCCCAAGATAAATTTAGAAATCATATTTGAAAGATATATGATATAATTGTGAGAAACCAATGAATGAAAAATAGACACAAGACTCCACACTATACTTCAAATGGTAAAAGACAAAAGTTGACCATTGTTCTACAAAAAAAAAAAAGAATAAATAAATAAAATAACAGTGGCAGATTCTATCTTAAATGGAAAATACGATAAAACATTTATTTTGTTATTAATTGTATGGTTTTATACATATCCATTTACATTTCTAAGCTATCCTGATATTTAGTCACTGTCCAGTTTGACCACTTCTTTAATTCAGGATACTCCTCTCAATTTTAGAGCTGATAAGGTTACATAATAGACAGTTAAATTTGAAAACATGAACACATGATGGCAGGCGGAAATAACACACAATAGTGACAGTAAATACTGAATATTTTTATGGGTGTGGCAAATGTTATTTGATAACTAAGTCAGAAGTACTGTATAAGTGACATTAATCACCAACATTATCACAACCAATTCAGGCAGGATGCCATTCTTGTTTATAGGTGACAGTGTATTATGCACATGTGTTTTCATATATGACACAAAAATAACATATCCAGACTGTTAATCAACAAAAAAATATTTCCTTTTTCATTATCATTAATTAACCTCTTGATGTGCATATTTCAATGAAAGCCAACTATCATTGTTCATAAGGTGATACACTTAATAATATATATAGGCAATTATGAAAAAAATCTGTTAAAAAAAAATGTTTTACCATGATGTTGCTTCAAGGAAATGTTCTTTCTCATTAAGATTTTCATATTGAGTGAGTGAAAAATATGTAATGTTCCCCACAATATTTCCTTTCCCAAATTGCAGATCTGCTACTGATAAATCAAATGCTGGAATTGTTCTAATTACATGTATGTTTTACTTTAAGAAATAGAGAAGAAATGACCTACCTCTATTGTACTACCATCAGGTAGTGTATACTGGGACTTCTCTGCTTCCATTGACTCTTCTTTTAAAGGGTTAATAGACAAGTAGCATGCACGCTGAAACAATCAAGTATCTCTATAATTGTAACAATTTTCAGACAAATACTGAAACAGTCAAGTATCTAATAATAGTAACAATTTTCAGACAAATACTGAAACAATCAAGTATCTATGTAATTGTAACAATTTTCAGACAAATACTGAACAATCAAGTATCTATATAATCGTAACAATTTTCAGACAAATACTGAACAATCAAGTATCTATATAATCGTAACAATTTTCAGACAAATACTTCAAGTATCTATATAATCGTAACAATTTTCAGACAAATACTGAACAATCAAGTATCTATATAATCGTAACAATTTTCAGACAAATACTGAAACATTTAAGTATCTAATAACAGTAACAATTTTCAGACAAATACTGAAACAGTCAAGTATTTATATGTAGATCAATCTCAAACTGATGTTTATAAGACAATGAAATAAATGCTGAAATGTATTTGAATTTCACAAGTAACATCTATTCCTCCTTCATTGTGATTTATAGATCAAACTTGAAGATTGAAAGTCATCAAAGTTTTTATATATGAAGTTCATTCTTAATAAAACTGAAATATTTATTGATATACAACTGTTGAAACAGTCAAGTATTGAAAAACAATCCCACAAAATTAATACAATAATATTCATTAAATTTCTGGAATATAGGTAACATGCTGTGAACAGTAAACAGATTTCCCAATCTCATCACTCAAAAAGTTTTCAACATCAAGACAATCACATTGATAATCATGATTTCTGTAATATATTGTTCCTCATCTTACCTCTTTAATGGTTTTTACGATTTCTAGCTCGGCAGATGTGTGGAAGTTGTATCCCTCCTTCCTCAAAAGAAGTCGCAGGTAACGTGTCACATCACGGCCAGCAATATCTGATCTCATAATACTATGAGGCATTGCAAAACCCTCATAGATGGGCACAGAATGTGTGACTCCATCACCAGAATCCAACACAACACCTGTTGTCCTACCTGTCGCATACCTACAACAAGACAGATGCAAATTCCAAGTTTAGATCTTAATTCAAAGCAGGATGCAAGATCTCAGTTCATGTCAAACTGCCAAGAATAATCTCAGATCAAAGGTCATATCTGAAAATAATATAAAGTCAAATGTCTTTGACACAACTAATAAAAGGTCAAAGGTCATCAAAGGCATATTGTTTAATTAGGATAACGGATATATAAAACAACTAATTTTATAAGGTCAAATTTGCTCACACTGTCAAAGGTCATATCTAAAACTAGATAATTTGATAAGGTCAAAGGTTTTATCTACAATAAAGAAAGGATATGTATTCTAAAGCAGTGATTATATATAATTTCCAGCTATTGAATTAGAGTATTAATAGCAGACTCTTTGACAATATACCACATTACACTCTAAAAAGAGGTAGTACAGTGATTTTTGAGACTCATATGTTTAAGTCCTGGACTCATGATTGTCCAGTGGGACTCATTCAAGTTTTACGGATCAACTTTATCTCTTAGTCATGGGACTCATCAATATGTTTGAAATGGTGTCCTGGACTCACAGGAAAAAATCCTAAAGTTACCAGTGCTAATGACCAAACAAGCATACTCACAGACTTAATACAGCTTGCATGGAGATAAACAAGGCTGGCACATTAAATGTTTCAAAAAAAACTTCTGCAGCCTTTTCTCGATTTCTTCTAGGATTCAATGGCGCTTCTGTCAATAGCACAGGGTGCTGTAACAAAATTATTAGGAGAGTCTCTCAGAATTACATCACAGTTACTGAACACAACTTCACTTGGTGTTTGAATTTCCAGCTCAAGAAAATTGAATTTTAACTAGGTAATAAGAGGCCACAACAGGGATACTTGGTAGTATCTGTAAACTTAGTAATCAGTCAACCCACTTAAAATGGTTTCTCAACTTAATTTACAATTCAATTCAAATATCAAACTTCTGTTAGTAACAGAATCACAAATTACTTTAAAAGGAATTTTTAGAAATAAATTATAACATTTATAAGAGTTAAACAAAGTAAATTATTGACAAATTAACGACAAAAGGAAACTGTCAACAAATATTATGGAGATGATTTTATACCTCTTCTGAAAATGTTTGTAATTGGTCCTTAGAATAAATATATTGCCAGATTCTCTCCATATCATTCCAATCTTTCACGGTGCCATGCTCCATGGGATATCGTATCGTCAACAAGCCACGATGTTCCTGTCATAATTTAAGGTGTAGATTTTAACATCTAACAACTTTGTCTTGTGACTGGTTTGTTTGGTTTATAGTTGCTTTATGTCCTATGTTAATAGGACGTAAAGCAACTATAAACCAGGGTCATTTAAGGACATGCCAGGTTTGGCTGGTGGAGGAAAGTCGCAGTTCCGGCAGAAAACCCATTGACTTTCGGCCAGTACCTGGTGACTGCCCCACATGCATGTAGGCCTCAAACCCATGACTCAGAGGCAGAGGGCTAGTTAAAGATGGTCAGATGTCTTAATCACTTGGCAACTATCACCCCTCTTGTAATCGCATATCTAATACCAATTGAAAAACTCCCAAAATAACCAGGTCTTGTCTGACGATGTACATCTTTTTCTGTCTTTAATTTAAAGAGGACTATAGCAGGACGTGTGTCAGTATTTGTTGGTGATTCTGGCAATCTACTGAACATTTAGAACAGTAGATACCGATTCTATGTTCCACCTACTTTTGTCTGTACTAAATATAGGAGCCATCCATAATGTTAGAACATTGAAAAGTGATCAATTTAATCAAATACTGCCAACACAACTTTGAAAATATGATTTTCACAAATATGTGGAGGTAGGAATTTGTCATACATGTGGCACTATATACCTGGTTTTGTAATACTTCAATACCTTAACATTAATATGGGTGGAGCTTTTCCTTTTTCAGAATTTTTCTTCTTTTTTTTTTGTCCTAGCATAAAAACATATCTTTTATACAATGTGAAAATTGTCTTAAAACATGTTAACTTCAACTTAAAATTAAAAAGGCAAGAGTAATTTAGGGTCATTAATGTAACAGGAGAATCTCAGGGTATTAGAGAAAACAGATAGGATTGTTCTTTATGATCTAGAATATTCTGAGAATTTCATTAGAAAAATTTTGAGCAAAATACACTAGTTAAAAACCCCTGTATCTCACCTTAAAGTGAGCCGTGGGTTAAAGTGAAATTGTAGTTAAAGTTTCTCTCTTACACTTTATAATATAGTGTACAGAACATCAAATTACCTCAGCATCTGGACCAAGGAAAACATCCCCTTCCAAAGCTCCGGCCATGACACGCACATGTTTAGGCCGACCAATACTGAAACAGAAATGGTTTGTCTTATATGAAAGCTCTGTCAGAAAATTCTGTACCAACAGATATATACTAAGCCATGCTGTAGATTTTATAACAACAAAAAAAAACAGTCCTACAGTCTTAAATGGTCATCTATCTCATTTTATATACAGTACACAAATTTTTCTAAAATAAACGTTTCCTTCATTTATCTTTAAAACAAAAATTACAAACATATTATAAAGGATCCTGTGGACCCTAACCTCGATACTCAAGGGGTTACAACCACTTTTGCTCTCTGCACCCCTGTAGCATGTCATGGCAAAACTGAAGACACAAGCGAAGTCATCTGATTGGTTCCAGGAGAAAAAAAAAAACCAATAACAGACTAATACACTCCTTTTGAACTTTTGAAGATTTCAAAGGAGCGACACCCAACTTCAAAGCCATTGCAATATGCAGATATGCAACCGCAAGGTTTGTTTGATGTACATCAAATGATCAAACTAGTCTTTTTGACTTGTCCACAAGGTGTCGCATATGGAACCTTCAATTTTGAATTGACATGTACCAGGGGTGCAGAGTGAAAGTGATTGTAACCTCTTGAGTATAGAGGATGAGTAGAACCTGTTGCTAAGGTAACCAATGGTTTGGTAATAGTGATTAATTTTAAGATTTACTCCTCAGGTTGTGGACAAGATGCCTTAAAATTTTATTATGAGACTGAAATTGACAATAAATGTTTGATCAAGCCACTAAAATTGACAGTGTTTGATCATGTGACTAAACTTTACAATCAATGTTGCAGCAAGTGACTAAAACTGACAATGTTAAATCATGTGACTGAACTTGACAATAAATGTTGCAGCATGTGACTAAATCTGACAATAGTAGATCATGTGACTAAAATTGACAATAAATGTTTACGCTTAATCATGTGACTAAAATTGACTATTACAATATCAGATTTTAACTAAAGGTACATATATACATCCAAATCAACAAATTATTATAAAATATAAAAGATCTTGTGTTATACTTACAAATTAGGAAAATGATATTTTGGCACCTGGTCTCCAGCAAAACCTGCCTTAATTACCCCAGACCCCTGTAAAAATAAACACTCACAATGTTAAATGTCCATATTTTGGCAAAACATGATTTATGAGAAATATCTAGAAATTTTCAAATATTTTTTGTCCATGTACATTTATATCTTGTATTTGGTTAAACCGAAAGAGAAATATTTGTGTTTCCAGTTAGTTCCTGTCTGCATTACGGCCAGTAGGTCAGAATTGACATTTTGGTTTCTTTTTTGATAATGTTTGCTTGATTTTGACACTGACTTTTCATGTACATGTACCATATGTTATGTAGAGAATGGCTTATACCCTTGTGCCAGGTATATATAAGTGTCGCATATGTGTATTATAAGATGTGTATCGCGCTATAAATCACAATCTGTTGGAACATCTATGTATGCTGTTTGATTATTGAAAATGACATCTTTCCTGTACTATTGTGTACCAAGTTTCTTCAGAATGGATAGAAAAACAGACAGACAAGGTAATTCCTTTACAGCCCCTCCCCCTCCCCCCAACCTTATCTCCAAGGATGAGGGAGGGGCGAGGTAATAAAAATAAGTTACAGGATTAGGAGAAGTTTGATCAATTTCTGTCAAAACAATACAGAACTATCACATTCAGAAAAGATGCAAAGAAGAAGCATACTTGTCTGGAACTCCTGATTTTACCTCAGGGCACCAGGATTTCTAGGGATTACCAGTACACAAAACATGAGCAGAATTATTATCATGGAAATGGGACAGTCCGGAAATCAAGATGTTTATTTTTGCCATACTCTAGGTCCATTGTACCGACACCTTTAGCTACATGTTGTATCAAAATGGAACGATATTATTATGCATTATCTTTGCACATAATTCTTGACATTAACAAATCTTCTAAGAAGAATTGGGTCCTGTTGAATCAAAACATGATTAGCTATAACTGTGACAAGTACATAAATATGGTCCCTTTTTTCTATGGGAAATTTTCCTGTAGCTTGAGAAGGCACACTACTGTTACAAAATGAAATGGTTGATAACATAAATATTAAGATGAGTGGTGTGGCAGTGGTGGGTAAAATTCAATTAGATGCAGAATGCTATCATATATGATCACCTGCAGAACAGAAGGTGGTTCCAAGAATCCACCAGACATCTCAACAGTAAATATACAGGGCTCTCACACCCCATTTTGGGACTGGGGCCCGGGGCCCTTTGAATTGGGAAAAATAATGGTGTTTTCCTTAGAATTGGGAAAACTTGGGGTCTAAATTAGGGAAAAAAAGATACTATTTTGCATTGGGAATGGGGCCAATATTCAGCCTCAAATCTGGCAGATCAAGAGCCCTAATTTGTAACATCTACCATGTACTAGTCTTAGGAGGGGTGGGTGTAGTATTTATAAGAAATATGTTACAGTTCTGCAGCTGTCTAAACTACCATAATTAATGACAGTTCAAACATTCATGATAACAATGCAATTTGAGATAATTACAGCAATAAATTAGCTCAAAATAGAAGGATTTTTCGTTGAGTGTACTTCTTACTAACTCACACGAAATGATAAAAGGAAAATACCGAATTTCTTGAAATGTGAAAAAAATTGCATGACAGGGAGGGGTACAGTACTCTGAGTTATCTCCCTGTAACGATCGATCGCACAAGTATTATCGCTGTAATTTACTTTCATGGAAAGCAGAAAAGAATGGAAGATTGGTAAACATCCCTTCGTTACTGTGATATCAGTCATTACTTAACTACAGATAAGCATAGGGAAATATGTTAATGTACGATAGTCACATATAAAATGAGTCATTCTGCAATCAACATAAAAATGGCTTCCATTTTCAGCCGCATCAGCAGATGCATTCGATCCATTTGAGTAGTTGGAAGGTTTATAATATTGGAGGATTTCTCCATTCACTCACGTTGTCTATCACAACGGGCTGGTTCGCTATCACGTCGGAGTATGGTTCCATTTATTCGTCCCCGTCATTCATCTATACAACCATCGATCCGGTCTAAGGCGTATCTAAAATGAAGGTACGAAACAACGGAGAAGGGTGTTCCGGATTGTTTTAAAGTACACGATAAACAGCGAAAGTGTTTATTCCGAAGGAAGAAAAACTAATTCACAAAACTACAGTTTTGCAAATACATTGTTTTTAAAATCTTACAAAAGATTCAAGATCGAAATAACTTAACTTTCACCACGGACTTAGATGTAATTAGTCTCTTCTATCACCCCGGACAGAGTCAACTTCCCACACTCTTATTTTTTTCTAAGCATTTATGCATGGGTCCCTTTAAAATGACAGTTTTCCTTCTGTTGTTTTGTAACTATCAAACATTCTATAAGACCTATTTTTGTAACTAAACTAGCACAGTACAGGAATTGACAAAACAGAATTATTAACAAGGTTACCTCCCTTCAAACACTGAGGTTCATTTATAATCCGTATTTCAATCACAACAGAATTTCGAGTGCCCAATATCCACTTTCAAATTACTATAAAAATCATATAGTGACTTGTCATTGGTTCACTGCGAGCTTGCATGTCAATATTTCATATATGGGCGTTCAAAAGATTGTTCGCTTAAATCACCTGGTTTTGTCAAGGACTGACCGTATATTCGGCATCAATAACATTTTTTAACGCGCTTCATTGAATTTGCCGTCGTCTATTTGGCCTTTCAGAAGCCCGTGAATGCCAACTGAAAACTTTATTTACGACTATTCATGTGTTTTCCTTATTTTTTTTAATTGGTATGCAAATCTCCCGTGCTTTTCGTAGGCAGGTATAGTATCTTTACCACGGATTTACTGTGTTAAGGCTAGAAGTTGGTAAATAAAGTATACGTCCATGATTTGGAGTTATATTCTAATCAAATATAGTTCCCAATGACTTGCTGTATTTTTAACTCTATGCTCGCTGGTGGTCTATATCTGGGCGTTTTGCATTTCTCGGACATGCTTTCAGATGTCGCCTTTTTGGTTTGATAAAACATAGTGAATAGAAATCGTGTCATATACAATGACCATATGATTACAATCTGATCTGATATAAAATCATGGGCAGTGAAAATATATCCCGAACACAATCAATCGTAATGTGCTTAAAATATTTTCGAAACGTAATTGACTGTAGTAAGGCAGAATTCTGTTCTTTCTGATAAGATCAGTTTATATATTATTTTCTATAATTTTCAGTATAGAAATTAGTAAATCAAAACCCGAATAAACGTGCAAATATACACTAAACATTATCGTTGATATTGATGATTTTCATTTAATTTCATTTCAGACTTTTTGAAACGAGTCTCAAAAAGTTGTGTTTTGTATTTTTTCAAGCCTTAGCGTGCAAAATTACACCTTCGAGACTAGTTTCTTCACATATCATGAAAATGGACCACATTTAAAATACTTTCCATAACATAACTAAGAAAAGTTACATTTTAGAGGTTTTAAAGTCAAAATATGGAGTACAATTTGAACATTGAGGCAGCCATTATATTGTGTCGTCTCCCTATACGACTATAAATGCTATAAAAGACTGTTCAGTGTGTTAACAATACATTCTCTGTGTATTTTACTTTAAACTGCAAATGGTTTTATCAATAAAACTCAACTCAACAACTCTTTATCGAAAGTGTATCGATAGGTGTTGTATCCGTCGAGAGGCTCAGAAGTGGAACCCGTTGTTGTATCGTCAAGAGACCCTGAAATGGAACCCGTTGTCGTATCCATGGAGAGGCTCGAAAGTGGAACCCGTTGTTATACCGTCAAGAGACCCTGAAGTGGAACTCGTTGTCGTATCAATGGAGAGGCTGGAAAGTGGAACCCGTTGTTATACCGTCAAGAGACCCTGAAGTGAAACCCGTTGTCGTATCCGTCGAGAGATCCTGAAGTGGAACTCGTTGTCGTATCCATGGAGAGGCTCGAAAGTGGAACCCGTTGTTATACCGTCAAGAGACCCTGAAGTGGAACTCGTTGTCGTATCAATGGAGAGGCTGGAAAGTGGAACCCGTTGTTGTATCGTCAAGAGACCCTGAAGTGGAACCCGTTGTCGTATCCATGGAGAGACCCTGAAGTGGAACCCGTTGTCGTATCCGTCGAGAGATCCTGAAGTGGAACCCATTGTTGTATCGTAGAGAGACCCTGAAATAGAACCCGTTGTCGTATCCATGGAGAGGCTCGAAAGTGGAACCCGTTGTTGTATCCGTCGAGAGGCTCAGAAGTGGAACCCGTTGTTATACCGTCAAGAGACCCTGAAGTGGAACTCGTTGTCGTATCCATGGAGAGGCTCGAAAGTGGAACCCGTTGTTGTATCGTCAAGAGACCCTGAAGTGGAACCCGTTGTCGTATCTGTCGAGAGATCCTGAAGTGGAACCCATTGTTGTATCTGTCAAGAGACCCTGAAGTGGAACCCGTTGTCGTATCCATAGAGAGGCCCTGAAGTGGAACCCGTTGTCGTATCCATGGAGAGGCTCGAAAGTGGAACCCGTTGTTGTATCCGTCGAGAGGCTCAGAAGTGGAACCCGTTGTTATACCGTCAAGAGACCCTGAAGTGGAACTCGTTGTCGTATCCATGGAGAGGCTCGAAAGTGGAACCCGTTGTTGTATCGTCAAGAGACCCTGAAGTGGAACCCGTTGTCGTATCCGTCGAGAGATCCTGAAGTGGAACCCATTGTTGTATCCGTCAAGAGACCCTGAAGTGGAACCCGATGTCGTATCCATGGAGAGGCCCTGAAGTGGAACCTGTTGTCGTATCCGTCGAGAGATCCTGAAGTGGAACCCATTGTTGTATCCGTCAAGAGACCCTGAAGTGGAACCCGTTGCCATATCCGTCGAGAGGCCTGAAGTGAAATCCGTTGTCGTACCCGTCAAGAGGCCCTGAAACGGAACCCGTTGCCGTATCTGTCGAGAGGCCCTGATGTGGAACCCGTTGTCGTATCCGTTGTAACGACTAGGCGCTGAATGTCATTAGCTTATTACAAGAACAATTTACTGTGTGTGAAAAACACATTACAACCCTGCCATGTAATTGATATCCACAATTGTAACTTATTATACTATATGTTCACCCAAAAATTCATAGTACACCCCCGCCTCAAATATCCATAAAAATTCCCACGACCCTATGATGTATCACCGTGTTTATTTGTTTTTGTTTATGGTGCTATTGCTATGCAAATGTAAACATTAAAGCCGTAAATTCTTAGGATTTTTTTTATTATATGTATCGTGACTAGCAAGACGGGATGAGAGTACAAAAGCATTTTGTACAGTATGTGTTTAGGAATTTTTTTTTTTTAATCTGAAACACGCTTTGATACCCCGAATCCGTATCACATTTAAAAGTCTGCTTTGGAACACTGGGGCAGTCTATATACTACACAAACCCTCCTCCCCCAGAAACTTTCTTATATGCCCCTGTACTTTGGAGCACAAAAGAAAATTCGTTGTCTATGTCCTTCATGTTAGGCAATGAACATATATATCCATTTCTTCAATGTGGTCGCGGCTGGCGATTGCTTTATCGCCACTAAGTCGTGGATTCGAACCCGGACCAACGTGGGCACTCGCCAGGTTGGTGCTTTAACTCTAGAGTCCTGCGGCCTTGTTCAGCCTTCAAAACCTGGTACATGTAAGATGACCCTGTCTGTTAATAGAACATGAAGCAATATTAAAATAAATTCTTTCTAAATGTTAATGTTTCAATCTCTTGTAACCACCATCCCCCTCTAAAAAATATATATAATACATATGTAATGCAAATGTATCTTAAATACGTCTCTCTACTCGTTTATTCAAATTCCACTTCTTCTCTCTAACATAATGTTTAGACGACTTCAGTTTATTTGTTGTTTGGGTTTTAAGTTCCGTTTCATGTTTGAATTTCTTTAGAGCTAATATATCATCATTTTCAGGTAAAAAAATGTCTATTGCTTCACAGGATGTAGGTAGTCTGGGACCATTCCAGTCTAAGGCAACAAATACACTTACCTGTGAAATTTACACCTGCTCAAAGCCATAAATGAAATCTGTTAGGTACACCTGCTAGAAATCTACCTTTTAGATGTAGCTGTCTATGGGGACACGACCAGTTTGATATATTTGGCGTCAGGCGTTATGTAGTCAACACTCTGCAGACACAGACTCTCATCTGCGCATGTCTACGCTATTTACGTTCATTTCAGTTGTGTTTTTCTATCCGTTATAAGTCACGTATTCCCCCCTCTCACAAAGTCACATTTCCCCCATACGCGTTGATATTGGTCTCAAAGTCACGTACCCCCCCCCCCCCCCCCCCCCCCCCCCCCACCCCCATACATTGATATTGGTATCTACGTGATTGGGAGTCAATCTTCTCAAACTTGAAAGCGATTTAATGTTTCAGTTACAACTGCCACTGTATTTTCATATTTCACTGTTTTAAACTGCTTCATTTAAGCTACAGGGAATTCATTATTTTATTCTTGATATCGTTACCGCCTGATAAACAAATTATTAAGATCGATTTAAAAAGTCGAATCTAGCATGGTGTATCATTAAACGAGGGGTGGGTGGGGGTTCGGGGCATCTAGTGTTCTTAATCTTGTAATATTGACCTTTCCCGTTCCGTCCCATCCCGCCCTACTCCATCCCGTCACGTCCAATAATATCCTGAATCAATATGGTCACTCTGGTAAATTTGTATTTGAGGAATTTTAATGAAACTTTACACAATAGTCAGCTAAGACAACGCCATCAAGGTCAATGTCGAGGTCACTATTACTACTAATTAAAAATCATAAAATCACCAATTCATTTAGTTACATCACACTAGCGACCTCACTCCTATAGAATATAAAGTTATGCAAGAAGAGAGAGCGAGATAGAGAGAGAGAAGAGAGAGAGACACACACAAACACACAACAAAGTGTACTTTTTATAGTGTAATTAGAAACAAGTCGCTGCATCTAGAAATCCTAAACACACACGGCTACCACACAGATTCTTTTTAAAATAAACTTAATTTAATTTACAATAATCGCGAAACAAGTTATTTCAACTTATACTAAACACTCTTGTTGGTCCGGATGTAAGCGCGCGAGGGGTCTTATTGTGGTAGGAACCGAAGTACAGGGGAAAACCCACGCGGTCGGACAGGTGACCCCTTATCTTTTCACGTCCGTTCCGGGAATCGAACCCCGGACAGCTAGGTGAACGGCCAGTGCGTTGCTTTCAACAGGCCGAAAAAATTCAAATCCAGTATTACAAATTAATTCTATTTTAACTATGGACTTCATGAAAATTGTAATTGCATTCTATTATGGTCTTTTGACATGCTGAATATTAGTGAATGATTAGTAAATCTGCTACACACATGAAACTCTTCTCAAAGAACAATTATTTATTACTGTTTATACATTTATATTCATAAAGGTAATAAACAGAATTATGAATATAAATGATATAACTTTGTGTTCGCTAAACCTGCAGGCGGCGGTTTCGGGATGACCATGTACTGTTAAATACGTGTAGTACTTCAGTGTGTCACCTTAAAATCACTTATTTAATCGTACTGCTATATTCATAAACTTCAAAATAGTCATATTCGAAGACAAGAATTTTACTTAAAATTGAGAAACATACTCATGCTCACCACGTGACACATCTGTAATTCTGATTACTCCTTTAAATGTCGAATCAATTACGACATCGGTTGGGAAATGCAGGTTGTTACCATCAAGAAATGGAAGGTTTTACGAAAGGGAATATGTATGATACAATTAGAAGTAAACCATCATTGATTCTTACACTGTAGTAATTATCTAGGTAGCTGGTATAGAAAAACATGCAATGTCTTCGATTTCAGGAAGGCGTATAAACAGTGACAGCAGCACCCGGGTGTGCACAACATCAGCAGCAACAAACATGAATTAATGCAGCTTCACATAATCATCATCAGCCGCGACAATAGCAATAGAGAAGTTGTAGCAGTGTGTTAAATCATAAAGAGTTACCTCCCTTACCACACCATGTAAATCCACGAATATTCAAGGTTTACCTTCTGGTACACCACGAGTGAAAACAATCAATGTACTTTTAAATGCTAGTAAACTATAACCGTCGTAGCTTAATGTATTGCCGTCTGAATGATGACACAGTTTGGATTCCCTAATGTTTAAAAAATTATTATGTTCAGAACCAACCAATAAAACTACACATTAAGTTTTTTAAAAAAATCCACTTGTTATTCCGGAAAAACGTGTCGTGTTTGGCTTTTAAATTACAAAATTATTCAGAACTTTCTTTTTCTTTTTTTTGTTTGTTGCTTAATAATCGCATACATTCCTTTATATATATTCTAATTTATCTTAATTCTTTCAATGCAAACAACGAAAATGAACGTGGGAGTATTAAAATGAAATAGATAACGCCCTGAAACGAGAAAATACGAGAATACATGGGTGGTCTCCCAGCGGAAGCTAACAGTGTTGATCAGTCACTGGTATTTCATAGGGCGAAGAGACGTTCATATTTAGCTTAGGAAATAATGAATTCGCACCGCTAACATGCACCTTCTGGGATTTATTCATGTCATGGGATTTATATTCTAGTTGATGAAATTTATATAAACAAACATGTCTGTGTGCCAAAGTGGAGAGTAAGGCAGCAACAGAGGAAATATTGGGTGGAAATCCGGTGTTTAGAACAGCCCGAATTTTGTAAATGGCAAACATGGACGACCGTGAAAGTATTTACGGTTCCAATTATTCGCAATCATCTGTGCCAGTAACGCCTCCAGGATTAGAGGCGATATATACAGAATGTCGGCGACTTTATCCCGACCAACCAAACCCGCTACAAGTAACAGCATTAGTAAAATACTGGTGAGTAATGTGTTGGACATTGTGGCCATGTTTGTATATTGCAGGTTGGGCCTTTGTTGTAAACACGGACTAACATTATCCTTCATGTGTTATTTTTAAGGTAAAATGTCATCAGAAAACTTGTTTTCTCTTCCCTGTGTTTTATTGTTATTGTTAATGTATGAAAAATACCGAAGGAATGTTCCAGCATACCTGTCCCGGGGATGTTATGAATGACGGGCGTTGAATATTATGGTCGTGTATTCAAATTTGACTTTTAAAGTTCGGGCATTTCCTGGCTGGAGTGTTCAAAATAGTACCATTGAGTTTTATTTTTGACTTATCAAAATTACTTTGGGTATTGAGTTTGTAGTGGCATCTAGTGGCGATTTCCGTGAACAAAAATTCAGATGGTAAAAATCTTAATGTACTACAACTGGTAAAAGTCCATGCAAGTGGCTGAGTGCAGCTGAAAGCCAGGACTGTGTATTCACAACCACGAACCCCAATAATTTTCGTTAAAAATATCTTATTGAAATCAAGCTTTATTTTCTAGATTTTTAAGTTTTTTTTTCAGTTTTAACAGTTTTAATTTTAACTGTTTTATTATGTTATATTCTGTAAATGTTATCAATTCTGTATTGACTTTTTGACAAGTTAAGATAGATATCTATATATAAGTCATGGTACGTTTTTATCTTCTGACCATCCCTACCATTTGATTACGTACAACTGCCCTATACATAGCATACAATTTTACGAAATGGAATGAACTTGAATAAGTTCTAAAATAGAAAATAGCAGATGATCAGTAAACATTGATACTTTTTTGAAGCAGTCGTAGTCGTAAAGGCCAAAAAAAAGTAAGAAAAACATTTGAAGGAAAACAATGAAATCATTGTAGAACAAAAATTAATGATTCATTTACTAAATTTTTAAAAAGTAATTATAGAATATAGAATTTTTAAGTGTTTCTGCATTTTTGCTAATGATCTTATTACATTTGTACTTGGATAGAAAGTAAGATCAAATTTAAAAAAAGCAGATTGTGGTCTTAATAGAAAGAAAAAGTTTTCATAAAAAAAAAAATTATCAAAGCAAACAAATCTTGGTTCAGATATGCCATACCAAGTATTTGCTAGCTTGTGAATAATGTTCTAAAATTATCTGGAATTCAGAAATTGTTTATTACTTTTCTAAATTTGTATTTAGCATATTTTTTGTTTTATTTATTGTCATGTTAAAACATTTGTTTTTATGTAAACATTCCTTATTTTGATTTGTTAAATTTTTGTTGTAGTTTTTTTTAAAGGTCTGAATAACTGATGTTAGTTTTTTTTTGTGAGTTATCAAAATTGATCCGTTAAGATCATTATTGTTCACAAATTTGACAAAATATAGTTTTTTAATTACAATAGGTCTCAAGGAAATCCAGTCATTTGATAGAAAGCTTTGTGGAATCTGAATGTGCACAAAATGTGTATACATAATAATCCAATGATTTGATCATTTATGGAAAAGAAAAAGAAATGTAAAGAAATGATTTTCATCTTGAAACTTCATTTTAAATTTTTTGATGATAAATAGAGAATTTGATATATAGTGTTGAGAAATTGTATGATTTCTTCTGGAGTTTCAGCTTTCATATACCAAGTATGAAATTTTCTGTTGTGTATAAATCCTTCCTAGCTAAAATTATAAATTATGCAACTCGCTTCCCAAAATGTTTCTTTTTATAACTGCAGGTTTTTATACAATAGTTACAATTATATTTTAATTTAGTTAATATACTCTATCTATTTCATATTTACAATGAATGTTTGCTGAGGTACTTAACAGCAAAAAGGATAATTTTTCAAACATTTAATTAAAAAGATTCAAATCAAATTAAATATTTCAAGATGGGTCTTTTTAGCAGGTTGGTGCAGTTTAGGCAAAAATTAGGATTTTATTTTCAAGTTTTAAAAAAAATGCATCTTTAACATTTGAAAAAAGTAATGAAACAAATATATATAATTTTCATTTGATCAACCAAATTATAATTGTTGTTAATTAATGATATTTAGTAAACAAACCCTTACAGCAAAGTTCCATGAAACAGGGTACAAGTGTACCAGATATGGGAATAAACTTGTTTTTTTCTCCCCTGGATTGTAAACAGATTCCATTAAAAATCTCCCATGATCTGCTTAAGTAGTCGTGGCTAAGTGTAGGGTTCAGGGTTGGGGGTGGGGGGTTGGACAACGCAGAGTTCCCCACTTTCTTGTCTTGATCTATGTAGATGTTTATAAGTACTTAAAGGGATTGTGGAATGCCAACACAATGGGCCGGTAACAGAGAGGCCTGAATAAGTGGAGCCTAGGTAGAGGAGGTATTGTGGAGAACGAGTTTGTTGATATATTGATTAATCCCAGGAGAGATACCCTTTTGTGAATTACATATAAGCATGGGGTAGAAACCAAAGGTGATTGATCATTGTAATTTGATAATAGGGTGTTTAATTCAGGCAGGTTTTTGTTGTTAAAGATGTTGGAGGCACTATCTATTTAGAACCAAAGTGACAATTAACAATACCAAATACCATTTGTTTTATCATATTGTTCTGTCCATTTGACATCTTAATTATAGTCATTTACAAATGTAACTTACAGGCCTTTTAAAATGATGAAACTTTTTGTAGTATTTTATTAGAAGTGAAATATTTCAATCTATGTTATTTAACTATTCAGAAAAACAACATCCATGACCATGTCCACGAATTACAAGTAATTGTATCACTCGGCATATTATATGATAAAGGGACTTTTCTAAATATAGATCACCAGTTTCAAATGAAACATTTACAAAAAAGATTTTGCAGAGGTCATTATCTACCTAAGGTTGAAATTGAGAATCTTGTTATATTTTGAAAAGCAGTCCTAGGAACCAGACATATCCAACGAGACCAATATCTATGTCGTCTCTCTTGGACTTAAAATTTGAGATTCCAGAGACGATGTCCTAGGGAAGTCTATCTATGTCAGTACATAGTGTTAACTTCAAACCATGTACCTAGTACATACGTCTGCTGAAACTATATGATAAGTATGATCTTTCATAGAGGTTCTAAAAGCAAGATACACATACTGGTCTCTAAGTGTATAAACATGTAATGGCACAGGCCTATATTTCATATACATCCAGTTTGTCAGTTTGTATTTTTGAAGACAAAACATGTACGGTTGGCTGCATGTGTATGGCAGACAGCCTGCTAAACCCTCACAATGACATGCACAAACAATGAGGCAGGACACCTTGCTATATTGTCCTTTAAAATTTAACAGGGCAGTGAAATACAGAGTCCACAATATTAAAATAATGTACCATAACGTTATGACATTCTGTACCATGGCAGTGTGTACTTCAAAAATATATACATCAGACACAAGAAACAATGCAACTTATAATTTGCGACAGCTCTCATTAGAGTTTTATCTTAAAGCAAACCTATTACATTTCAAAAATGAATGAATGTAATGTAAAAATTGTGGCGTCTAATTATAACTTGTGTACATCATGAAAATTGGCATCATCCCACAATTTTACCATGGCAAACCACAATTATCTATCTGGGTATGTGTATAACATAACGGTGATTTGTTAAGTTCTCAGTCTAGCAAATAAGGAAGGCAATTAAAACAAACATGTCAATGTTGTTTTTGTTTTAAAATGAAGAGAGATTTGTAGTGTTAAAATTTTGTGCATAATTTGTTATTGCTTAAAATTATATACTCTTATCTATAATTATAGGAAATGTAGGTTTCGGTCACTGTGGTACTACAATATACTTACTAGATATGTTGGGAGCTGCATTTGACATGGATCTTTCAGATTAAGAATCCCTTTCTTAAAGGGCAGACAAATTAAGTTGTATTTAGCTAAAAAAGTAGAGATAGTTTTGTTTCTGGATTTATTTTTAGGCATACTGTCTGTGAAGTAGCTGATGGCTACCTCACTAAACAATATGCAAAGGGGCCTGCTGCATGCTATCCTGATCTAGAGCAAATGAATTTTGGGAAGGTCTCTTTGCCCATTGCGTCCAAAGCACTGGGCAGTCTATGAGTAAATTAAATCTCCTGAGAAAGGCTTAATTTCAGAATGGCAAAGTTGGACAATACAAAATGACTACAGTACATACATGTATTTCTGGCAGTTCTTACATAGAGTATTCCAAAGATCTCAAAGAATGCTATATATTTAGAGTTTTTTCGGGACAAATCCTAAAACGTATTTCACAAGTTACAGCTGCCAACTTAAATTAATTCAGTGTTTCTTTATCAAACAATGTTTGTTTTCATTATGGATTCTTTCATTTCATTATTTGGAATTCGAAAATACACGGAACATGATTCATACACATTGAAGCTTGACAAGTAACATGTAAAATATCTTTCAAACTCTCTCCTTGATTTTCTTCAAAGAGATTACCAAGGGTACCAGTAGATTCACACTGTTTAACAAAAGAATCCTGTATTTGTAATAATTACTTTTTGTATGAACATCAGGAAAACCTGAAATATAGAAGGAACATATATTTTAACTTTGAAAGATGTTTTATTACATTAAACAATCATAACAGTTGTTAATTTCAATAAAAAAAATAAGCTTTTACAAAATTAGTCTCTGATAATTACAAGTGTGACTTTTTTCCATGGAGAAGTGAGGCAATATCCATAATAACATACAGTAGTGTTATGTTAAGGAAGAACCATGAAAGGACTGGTTTTAATTAGCATATGTGTTCGATAGAGAGTATTGTAGGGCAGCGATGCTATGTGGGAGAGCGACCAGGAATAATTACAGCCAGGGGGCCGGGCTGTACGAGGTCGATCGCTCTCATTACCAAGTGATCACGAGAAGTAGATCAGTTAGCTTCACAAGTGCTGAATGAAAGCGCAGAAATATATTGTAGTCCTTCAAATGTTTGTATTGAACTGTCTTTGTGGGCTTTGTTTTTTTTTCAGTGAATACTTCCTATAAAGAATTCCAAGATTAGGAATAAATTTGATCCTTTCATGCAATGGAAATTTATGAGGACATACAATTACTATAATGTATAGATTATTGAAATTATATTTATAAATACAATAAACAGTATACACCATGTAGATTGTTCGTGCGGTAGTGATCGACTACCTGTAAACATTTACAAAAATACAGGGGTATGATTATTTGTGAGAAACACAGGTTGTGATTGCTCACTTGTATAAGCTAACTATGTAGCAAAGGTTTAATCTTTGGACAGAGATCGGAGTGGTGGATTAGGGCCATGCTCGGCTTGGCAGATACACTGCAGCACTCATACTACGACAGGTGAATGCTATCGACTGGCTTTGTTGGACTGTCAGTAGGGGGTCCTATAGGCGTTGCCTCACTGAGCGACTCAATGAATGTTGTTGACACAGTGTAGACCATAGGGGGTATCTCACTTACCTCCGGCCTAGACCTTGGGTGGGCGTAGGGAGTCCGCTATACATGGCAACTATCGGCCACTGCCAGACATGTTTACCTGTGAACTCATTATTGATATAAACAGACATAATCTGACTCTCACCTGCAGTGTGGATGGGTACCTCATTCGGTGTTATTTTACGTGTTGTTGGTATTTGAAATTAATTTTTGCTTTGCAGGTGGAAAACATGCTGTAATTTTAAAACTCAACACTGATGTCATTCTTTTTTTCAGTAATAATTGTAAGCAAATCAACAAAACTTGCGTCTTTGTTACAAGACTCATTCTAGGGCTTTTAGGGAAGGGGCTAATGGTAATCCCCAAACAATTAAAATTATTCAAGCTTTATTCTCAAATTTTGCAATCTACTTCTAAACATGTCCTCCCAAATTTTACCATTTTTTTCCCCAAAAATCACGAAAAGTGCCCCCATCCCAAACCACTGATAAAAAGCCCCCACTGTATCATTGCCCCGTAATTAATAAAGCCATGCCACAATACCCCATACATGGAACGAGAGATTATCAATTATTGGCCCCCTTGGCGTATTGAAGAGAAATTTAATTTTGATAAGTATATTGGATTGATTCGGCTATTAAATTGTAAAAAAATGTAGTTCACTGTGCTTGTAAGTAGTGGAAATCACAGTATTATTATCAAGGGTAGACCTAACTTAGGTCACACTTGACTGTGTAGGAGAACACCTTCATTAGTATATATTGTGTTTTTTTATTAGAAATTTAAATACCAGCTGGTTAAATTAGTAGATAGTGTTTAAGTAGCTTTTAAGAATGGGCTGTAGTCAGAGTGGAAATGGGGAGATTTTATCGTGGTGAATCCCAGGTGTACAGATATTGATAAGATTTATGGGATGTCTTGCATGCTTGCTGATGGCTTGACACAATATAATGTATATGGCAGATATGTTTAAAGATTTTATGTAAAAAACTATCTACATTTAATTTGAAACTTGTAGATAATTAAAAGATGAAGGGCAAATTGGACCCATATCATGAATATGGATTATAGTGTTAATATAACTGACAAATCCTTGACTGATTGCCTAGTACTGTTATTGAGATTTGTAGGAATTGATCATGATATGAGTTTTGCACAGGGTAGGGCTGTATACCGGTACTATTGTATATCATATTTCATGATTGAATTCTTAACAGGATACATATTCCACCTGAAACTGTCAACTGACAGCCGTATTGTAAATCTAGTACTATTTACAATAAAGGTACAATTTATGTATGGTTTTTGAGTTAAAAAATAAGTATAAATTCATTTTTTAAGATACATTTGTTATTTAGAACAACTCAACTGGTTTTGAGATGGAAGTATTTTAATATTAATCGGAGATTTAGTCTCATACACTTCTTTACCTTTGAAAGTCTGCATGGATTAGCTAAAAGAACAATTTTTGTTAATCTGGTCATTTCACAATTTCATTTCAGATGAAATTTTAATTTGAAAAAATAGGAAAAAGAATTAAGAATAAAGTTTTTTTTAACATATTAATCTATGATAAAAAATGTATCTGTAAAGTTGTACCGTAGCTCATGACATGACACAGGCATACCAACAATATTTTATTTCATGAGCTAAAATAAAAACCTTTAGCCAATATGAGGGGAATTTAATCTAAAGCCAAAGAATATATTCTAAAGTAAAACCATATCTTAAGTTTAGACAAACTTAACCTTAGTTGACCTTTTGTATAAATCTTGGTTTTTGTTTTCCAGGTTGGGTGGTCCTGACCCCCTCGACTACATTAGCATGTACGCTCACCCTGGGGACGAGAATAGAGGTATTCCATCACATTGGCATTACATCAGCTATGGATTGTCCGATCTCCATGGTGATGGTAGAGTGCATGAGTAAGTATTTGTGAAGACTTTAAGTTAATAGTCCTTTACTTCTTTAGTCATTTACTATATATATATATTTAAAGACAAGCTCTTTGTTAACGTTTGTGACTCTTTTGTGTCATATTCTGGCAGTTTCTCCATGATCATTATACTCTTCCCACATGAAAAACGAATCACATTTTCATTTTTATTTGTTTTTTTTCTTTGATCAGAAGCAAGACAGGATGAAAATATTCCTATTTTCAGTATAAATTTTAAACTTGGGTAGGCCCGTAAAAGACGCTGGACAAAAATTTCAAAATGACTTGTAATTATATGAAGCCACGATATTTGCTAGATAATTATAAATATGATATGTGATAATTCTGAGCCTGTAGGCGGTGGCCTAGAATAACAGGGATCTGCTGCTCTGTGTGTGGCACCCCTGAGTGTGGCCTCTGCATGGGTGGCCCATGTCAGCGGCCAGTCAAACAAGCATTAACATCAGGCAGAGGCAGCCAACATGATGAATTATTGAAGAAAGCTATAATGAGTCGGGTTGACACTAGCAAAGTTTCTTCTCATTACGACCAGTTCAAAGCTTGGCATTGATAGAATCTGCGTGGGATTATTTGACTTTTACTAGCTCATATGCCCTAAAGGTGTGCAGCCATGGGTGGCTCCTATCCTCTGATGTGATCTTAGTTATGGCACCGTTGCACAAAAAACATCTGTTTTCCAGCCATTTTAAACAGGTGTGATTTTTCTCACAGTCAATGATAATGCAGATGGCGATTTATTGTACCACCTACCTTGAAAATCAACGTCAAGTTTCATTGTTTTAATGCTTATCTTCTTTATAAATACTTAGATATATGAGAAACGTTTTCAATTAATAAATAAATTATGTCCCTCAAATTGTGACATATTATTACTCTATTTAACTACTGGTATAGCCAATTTCCTGTCTAGACACCATTTTTAAATACTCCTAGATGTACATGTATTACTTTTGTTAGAACAATACACATTTAAGTTTTGGGGTGTTTCACCTTTGTTGGACATTTTGTTAGGACAATATACATTTAAGTTTTGGGGTATTTCACCTTTGTTAGACATTTTATTAGGACAATAAACATTTAAGTTTCAGAGTATTTCACCAAGGCCATTAACAGAATGATTAATTAACTTTATACTTTGAAATTTTGTGGCAAACGACAAACTGTAGCAATGGAATATGTAGCTGAAAGAGAAAAAATGCAACATGTCAAATTTTACAAATACTTCATAATTCCAAATTGAACTAAAAATTGAACTATCAAAGATTCCTCATTCTGTTACAGTTAATACTTTATTAATGACGTACCATCGACTTAAATCTGCATTTATCAGCACTTTTCCAGCCTAATTTGAACACTACGAAGAAGATATGATATATAATGCTTAGAGATCATAGAATAGCAATGACAATACTTTGATATTTGCTGTCATTTTGGTACACATTTGACAAGAGCTAAATGTTTGTGTTTTTCTATTTTCAGTCATTCCTTCCGACTTAATGGTACAGAGGGTCCAAGTGGATTTGGGTTCGAGTTAACTTTCCGATTAAAGAGAGAACCAGGGGAGACCAATCCACCAACATGGCCAGCTACATTGATGCAGGCATTATCACGTTACGTCTTTCAAACAGGTAGATAATCTATATATAGCTGTCACATCTGTTTCGCTGTAGACCGGATGTCTTGCTATAAGGCAGCATGTCTTTTTAATTTCTAGAGAAATTTCAGCAAATTATGTTATTGTCTGGAGAAAAATTCTGCTTCCTTAATTTCAGTCATAGGGCTTGTCATAAGTTAAAATTGGTATACATACTAACACACATGCTTCTTTAGAATGGCCAATGTGTTTTGATAGCAGTTTGAACTAACTGTTTAGACATACCAGTAACACAATCATGTACTCTTCAAAGATGGCAACCATCTGCTGTGTTCTGTATGAAAAATTTTCTCTATTGTAGAAAATGTTCTGTTTCGTGGGGATCACATTCCGTGGCACATGCCGCTGGACGGCAGTGAGTCACGGATACAACACATGTTGATGGCTGAAGATGCGCAGCTATTACCTATCACGACACCATTAGGCTGTGTCAACTTTGTTCAGGTAACACATTCTCTAAAGCTTTATAATTAAATCTAATATTAGAATGGCCTGGGCCTCCATATTATGAAACAATATGGTAAAATTTTTGAAAAGATTTTGATCAATCTTCTTTTATGTTTTATTGAAAGATTTTTCTTCTTTTTGGAAAAATAACATTTTTGCAATGGGAAAGAACATTTTTTGGGAATAAAAATCAACAAGTTTGTAAGATACATAATATGATTAATATCAATACATGTTTTTGCTCTGATATTCATGTGTATCAAAGTATTTATCAAATGTACATAGTCTGTGATATGGTATATGAAATAACAGTGACATTCCATACTGGTCCTTCCCTATACAGATAATCGGTGTTTGTGGAGAGGAATTGTGTGCTGCACAGCATTGGACAGGTCCAGGAGTGATAGAACTCATCCGCTCCATACCATGGTAAGTATCAGAACAGAAGTTATATAATGGCATTTATACAACATTGAATACATATCGGGCCTCATCTGTATATTAATTTATAAACTAATAGATATCAATATAGTCCTGTAATGAGCCCATGTATATCTATAAAATGTTATAGTTACATAGTAATAGTAATATGATGAATCAATAGCCATGTAATAATAGTAATATATATAATAGTTACATAGAAAAGCCCATCAAAATTTTTCTGTCTCCAAGTATTAATCCTGTCCCCTGTCTTTGAGTTATGCGTGGATTTTATTGTTTGATTATTTCAACTGGTTCTGATATGATAAGATTGATCTACTTAAGTTTCTTCCTTCAACACCATCATATAAATTTTTGTCTGAGAGAAAAAGCAATAATACATTCTGCAATCATCCATATCTCAGACAAGACTTACAAGACAGTCCCCTAACAGAGGTTACTGTACCAATATTACCTATCGTAAAAGAGTCACACAAAAGAAAATTTTGGGTTATGCATTGCAGTGCTGGTGGGCCCTGGTTGATCACAGACATGAGGAGAGGAGAGACAATATTTGAAATTGAGCCACATTTTCAGGTTAGTAATAAATTGATATCCTTCTATCGTCTTCATTCTGTATCTCATGTGTATATATTAGTGGATGAATTAAGGATGAGACGCCTGTTGGACTCACTGATTGGGCTTGCAGTGGGGCAATTGTAATCAAACTTTGTAGCCTGAGTTGCTCAAAGCCTTGTTAGAGTTTACCAGCCCTAAGTGTAAAAATTAAATTGCCACAGAAAAAACAAAGACTTCCAAATAAAATTTAGTGTCAAAAATAACAATCTGACATAATTATTTCCAGTTTTGTTTAAATCATATTTGAAAATTTTCAGTTACACTGGTTTACTCTTTTCAAGTTTTTACAATTGGAACTTGGGTGTAGACCATATTTCTCATTTATTTATCATTTATTATGTGCACTGTATGTTCTAGGATCGTGTGGACACTGGTATTGAGACTGAGGGCTCCAATCTAAGTGGTGTCAACAGTCGGTGTTCGTGGGAAGAGCCAGGTGATGGGGGAGATGACTTCTACAATGAAGATGAAAAAGAAAACCGTATGATAGAGGAACGACGAAACAGCAACAATGAGGAACGTCCTCAGATATCGGACTTCGGTAGGTGAAAAATTGTAGTCACTGATGATCTGAAAGGGAAAAAAATTGAAATGAATATTTTATGCTTGTGTACAAAACAAAATGTAACACTAGATCTAGATGATTATTTAATCTTAAACTGAACTTAAAATCTGGCTACACCCAATGCAATCGATTGTAATGGAAATTGTTTTTGGCAACAGACTCGGAACAGATCAAGGCAACATTGAAACGTGGTCTCAATGGCTCCCGACCTGGACATTTTGCACGCAGGGAATTTGAATATGATAATGGGTAAGCAGTTTTGAACTCTAGATATTAACAAAACAGAAATGTTTGGAAGTATAACATTTTATGACAGTTATTAATGTATGTTCGTGTTACCTGAATGTTTTGTAGCATCTCAAATGACTTTCAGTAACGTTACATACTTATGAATGTTAAGTAAAAGAATTGAATCCCTGTATGAGCAAGATGAACATCTTAAATGATTTTCTGATCATTACCTGAGTTAATAGAAGTTCCCTCATTTTGTTCTTTGAAAACTAAAGGATATATAGTGACTATGGTATAGACTTTTCCTATATGTCTCTCTTTCTGATTGCAGTAATCGGATACAGTCTCGGAAGCAGTCATTTGACAGTACCGCCAGTTCAGATGGACCTACAGAACTTCTGCGAACACGCTGTTTAGAATCTGTACATTTGAAGTTTAATTTAGAGGCAGGGTCTCTTCTGCCATTAGCCCTTAAGGGGCGACTCAAACATGGACGCCATTTTACATTCATGAGTGCATTAAATGATACAGCAATTACGCTAGTTTCAACAAGTGTAAATGGATCTATAGCAGACGAGAACCACCCCTTTGCTGCCCACGGGCCCTGGCTACAGGTAAGATAACTCTCTCCACAGTAGCCTCTCCTTTCTAGATCTAGGGATGCACATGTTGTTACCTATTTTATTTTTGGCTTTCATATTTGTTCAAACGAATGACCTAGAACATCTGTCAAGGTGACAAGAATCAGTTGTGTACAAAGGAAAAACCATTAGGAAAACTCATGTGAATAAGGCTTTGATAAGCAGTGTACTTAAAAGGAGTTTTAAATGAAAGAGCTAAAATTTGAAATTTTTTAAAGGATATTTACTGGTATGTTACAGGTATGAGTGTTACTAAGTAAAGGTATTTACTGGTATGTTACAGGTATGAGTGTTACTAAGTAAAGGTATTTACTGGTATGTTACAGGTATTTACTGGTATGTTACAGGTATGAGTGTTACTAAGTAAAGGTATTTACTGGTATGTTACAGGTATGAGTGTTACTATGTAATGGTATTTACTGGTATGTAACAGGTATGTTACAGGTATGAGTGTTACTTAGTAAAGGTATTTACTGGTATGTTACAGGTACTGTTAACTGATGACTTTCTGGACGAGATGATCTGTGATATAGAGGAACTGTGTAACCCTGATGAGGTAAGCAATTCTCTTCTATATCTTCAATATAATGGACTTTGTTTTGTGTAGATTTTGTGTGGAGTCCTCTTTTACACCCTCACTATTACAGTGTTTTGTCTGTAGGTTCTTAGAAGCCCGCTTCTATGCCCTCAATATAAATAAAGATAAAAAATCCTCAAACTCTTTTCATAAATATTATCATAATTGGAAACTCCAGCAGGACTCTATAAATGTTTACCAAATCAATAACCACTGTACTTTCTTGTTTCAGATGTTGTGTCCAAAGACATTCAGCTGGCCTGAAAGAAGACTTTGTATCACAGTGCTTTCAGACTAGGTGTAGAATCCTGATGTACGGTATTGGTGAAGACTTGGAACTTTTACATGCTGTTTGGTGTAACAGTATGTCAAGTCCTCCGTGGTGCAATCTCTTAATCAGCTCGCTTCGTGCAGCATTGTGTGTAAAACACCAAAATTTAGTCGCATAGCAAAACATTGATCAAGAGGTATTCAGTGTTCTCTGTCCTAAAAGAGATTCAGTCACATATATTGCACAACATTGACAAAATGTATTTTGTACTGGAAGAAATTCAGTCAAATAGCACAGCATTGATGGAAAGGCATTTTGTACTGGGAAAAATCCAGTCATGTTGCACAAGGTTAATGGAGGTATTCCCTATAATATTTCCTGGAAGATAAGTCAGATCCCTGATAAGATTTTGCAATGGGAAGGTCAGGAAGATTTGTGCAATTTGTGAAAGGAATATTGTTACCCTGGATTATCTAAGCAGACCTACATTAGTGTGCTTCTACACTTTGATTGCCAATATGTGGAGAGATTTTGGTGTTTCAGTGGATATTATATGTAGACCTATATCAATGGGCTACTATACATAATGAAGAGAGTGTTATGTTGGATTTAATCAATGAACTGTTTCCAATGATTATAGGTGGCATTTGTCAGCATTCTTCTACACACAGATTTGGAAGGTGTGGTGCCTCTGTGTGCAATGGGTACAATTGTTATGGGTCAGGATTCTACTCCACAGAGGGTATATGACCTTACTCGTTAATGACTTTTGATCTGTGGTCAAATTTCTTGTTCCATATTAACTTGACTGCAGATTTGTTATACATGTTCCCAGAGCAGATCATCTATTTCATATGTGAGTTACAGAAATGTGACGGAGATTTGATGATTAAGATGGATGTTTACATCAGTCAGTCAGATGATAGTGAAATCTTGTTAACCGAAAAAAATTACTTGTTTTATATATATATATAATATCAAAATGATAACGGGAATGGAGAGTATTAACATATTTTTCTCTCCCCCACCGTTTGGCTGCGGTGTTAAATGAGAGTCTTGTCCCCCACCACTTGGCCGCGGTGTTAAATGATGAGGTGATATAGTAATATCTCATTTGGCCTCCGACGACATGCAACAAGGTTGATTCGACCAGCTATAAAACAATTATAGTAGAAAAAGCTTGTTGAGATTAATTCCCTTGTGTGATATCTGGTATAATGGCTTCTTTAGATCTTTAAATTCTTCCACTCTGACGTAATTAAAAGTACTTAAGACATAGTCACAGTTTCAATGAATATTTTAAAATGCTCCAATAATTTGATTTCATTTACTGTTCCTTTCCTATACTTTATATAATTTCATTTGATGTGAAAGTGTAACGAAATGACCCAGTGTATGGATAATTGCGACTGGTTGCTGATCTCAAATTAAAAGAGAGATGTTAGTTAATAATCTCAAATTGGAAGAGCGATGTAAAATTTATATTGATCTTGGAGAGATGTTTCAGGTTTTTATGATAGATACAATATTATCATTGACAAATCCATTGAATATGGGTTACCCCTTTGCTAAATTGAGAGAGGTGTTGTGCGATATTTAATGGAGAGTGAGGGTTGATTTTATTCTGATTCTGATCTGAAAATGATGTTTGGGGGAATTGGGTTATCACCCAACAGAAATACAGAACATTTACTGTATAGCTTGCTAAGGAATTCATTGTGTGAAATTTAATGAAAATATGTCATATTTCAACATAAAATTTATTCTGTATGTACAGATGTATGTGTTTATGAAACTAAAAGTCATTAATGTAGAGATTTGATAATAGTTTCCATTTAGAGATACTGAAATTTTGGTAACTCTCTCTTGTATTAATGAAACTAAATGTCATCAATTCAGAGTTTTTCATTCAGGGATATCGATTCCAGGTCATGTTAAACAACTCTCAGAAGGACCACTTTAGTCAAATAGTGCTGTCAATAAAGTCTCCATAATTTATAAGCTTATTATTGAAATGCTATATCGATACAGCAATAAGCCCATATCTGGCAACAAGCCCATGTCTGGTAATAAGCCAATGCGTGGTAATAAGCCCATCCTCAATTGCTATTAAGTAAGATTATGAACAGTTGCAGCTGCTGTTCTGTTGTTCTGTGACTTAAGCCCTTCTCCAGACATTGCAGTATAAGTCGCCTGTAATGTGTTGGCTGCTGGGCTTATTCATTATAAAGTCAATGTTTTTATTGTAAGAACTGTAAATTTTAAATGCGTATATATTAATTATCTTGTTCTATTTGGTGTTTTTTTTTTTTTTAAGATTTGAAATATAGATGTTGTCATAATAATATATAGTTATCATAAAGGTTTACACATATGTGTTCACGGATGGTTTACATACTTTGTTAAATGTTTTGACTGTTGGTGATTTTCATGATGACGACTGTATGCACGTATTTTGCCTTGTTATAGTTCAATGTAACCTTGTGCCATTGATGGGCACATAGATTTAAATAGGACATATTTGCAACTGATGAATTATTGTGAGATTCTCTTGTTTAATTTCTAATACCAATGCAGGTGTTTTATATTAATTTCAAGAAATGGCTATTTAGCACACAAATATACTGCAAAAATGATATATTTTCATTGTTGGGAGGGGGGTTTCAAATTTGATGTTTTTTCAGAAAGTTTCTGTTTCATTGATGTTATTTTGTTGAAATACACCGTTCACAAAATCCACTAGTGCAAAAAAAAAAACTTGTCATTTTTTATCATTTCATGCACATGTATGTATATATATGAATTTGCAGTATAACACTACCAATGACATCGGCGAACATAAAACTCCCATGAAAATTAATGATTTGACAGTAATATATAAGCTGTGTAAGCCTTAAGTCGGCTTTCCTTCCTCTTTTCTTTTAATGTTTAAGTTTGGCCTTAATTAGAGGTGAGATATTGTAATCCTCACTACACCTCTGACTGTTACAGTTGACTGAACATAATTACAGGTGAGGAATTGTGATGCAGCGTGACCTGCCCTGGTGACTTCGCAGTTGGAAGTCTATAACAATTCATTAGCTCGTGTATACATTCTATAATATTTTATACTAACAAAAGCAGGGGGTAGATTTAAATCCTTTAATGTTACATGTGCGTAGTTGTTAATTCAGTTTACGGATTTGTCAAGTTCACATTTATGGGTTTACAAATGCATGTGTAACCAGTTGGGGGGGTTGGTTGGTATATAATGGAATGTAACTGGGTGGGGTGGGGGATAAAGGTTAACCTGATATGTAGAGGAGAGTGTGGAATAAGTTTAGCATGGTGATCTATTCTTAAAAAGGCAATGAAACTTGTTTGGATACATAAATTTCATCTTTAATATGTAGGTGACAAACTGGATCTGTCAAATTTACAAAGAGGATATTTAATCATTGGTAGTGATAACAAGTAGATCTTGTGCATATACAAACTTTGCTAATCAGTATGATAAGGATATTTTTCAAATGACTTGGCAATGATAATAATGTACATATCATTTAGTTTTACTTGCGACATGATCTACATATTGTGTACAATTCATATATATACATGTATATATCTGCACACTTATAACACCATACAGGCAGGTCGTCATGGGCTGGTCTTTGCTTATTTCAACCTTTGGAACAAAATAGATGTTTATCAGTTTAATTAAGATCTGTGAGCGATAATTAATTGGCACTGGTTTTGATTGCCAAGATGGGAATGTCTTGAAACCTTATCCAAAGTAGGACTTCTATACATTGTTAATTTGGTACATATGAGGTAGCCAAAAAATCAGCATTATTCATTGTCTTGTAAAAATTGACAAAGTGATAGTTGGGATTTTTTTTACTGTTGAATACATTGTATATTTACCAAACTTGTGCCATTTTTCTGTCGTGTTGAATGCATGGCACTGCATTTTTCTAACATTATGTAAAAAGTTACAATTGGATATGATTAAATATCAGATGCTTGTTCATTATTAGTTTCTTTTTCGATAATATTCAAAAAAGTTATATCATGGGAAATGGTCTGTTAAGAACTGTATTGGTTTTTCTTCCTCCAAGTATGTTTTTCAAACATGTTTCCTGTAGCTGTTTAAGTTACAAACTTATATACCTTGGACGTCGGAATGTTGATGTATATATTGTGCTTAGTACTGGTAATTAAAGTTCCTTTGGATTTTTCACATCTGAAGTTTGCACCAAAACTTGGGACATTTGTCCGATGATCATGACATGAACAGAACATTTTCTGGAAACGTCTAGTTACATATGCTGTCTAACCCATATTTGACAACCTTTCACAGTTTTCCAATCAGTCTCTCCTACTTTTTTCCTACATAAATTGCATTCTGCAAATATATATAATTAAATCATTGTTACATAGACACTTCATTCAAAGTTTGACAGTACAGGTGAATGACTGTTTGATTCCTCCTAGTTGTTGTACTAGTTACTGTAATCTTCTGGTGTCAAACAACAGTGATGGATCAATGATTTAACACTTTTTGTCCCACTTTTGTGTACAAGATAAACTTGACCAATCATTCAGTGGGGAAAGGTGTTAGTCAAGCTGGGAGACTAAAGATTTTTTTTTTTTGTTTTGTTTGAAAATCCTAGTTTGTAAAAAGGTGATGTTCAGTATGAATTCTCCTTGATGGATTTTTTTTTTTTTTTTTGAAAAGTGGCACAATTGCACTTGGTTACTTCCTAGCTGTTAGTCTTCAGATGAAGATTTTTTCCCCCAAAAAATGAAAATTTCTGAAATTGAAAATTTGATATACCATATAGATCTTATATTCTTTTTGTTTTCTCTCTGAATATACATCCTTAGTAAACGTATATCAATACTGAGCTTGCATGTGGTAAAATATCATTATCAATATTTAATTCAGTTCTGAATTTGAGAGAAAATTAATTCATAACTGCACTCTGGATGAAAGGTGTAGAATTTCAATATCCCACTAATCTCTACAGACAAATAATAAAAGATGATGTCCCAGCTTCACTGACAGTAGTATTTACCAAACATGTTTGCTACATATTGGGTACAAGGGAAGACCAGCGGGTGTTAGTAAACATCTGTCATATATATGCCACAGTAGATACTAGATCAGGATTCTTATTGTTTTGAAATGCTACACAATATACATATCTGTCAAAATCAGAGCACCCCCAACAAGATTAACACAATAGTTTATTTAGAAGAAAAAAAAAGGATCTAAAATTAGTATCTAGTTGTTATTTTTGGTATAAAATGTTCTCCCACATCCTTCAATGATTAATTTGATTATATTAGTGCATATAGTCAATATCTTTGAATTATACTTAAAACACTTCAAATTGACGAACAATGGTAAAGTGGACTTTTATAATTGGTTATATAGATAAAGAACTGTGTCATCTGACCGATTTCTTTTTTACTATGTTGTGTTGAACAAATTAAATACGGCATGATTGTAGCTTGACATGTAGCTGTATAAAGCTACAACATAGATTGATTTAATCAGTCATTAATTTATAAAAATTGTTAATCAAGTCGGTAACAGAATTTATTTATAACCCCAAAATTTGATATCCCAACTTTATAAGCTATCCCATTTTCCGACTCATTTATTTATTAAATATGACTGAAAATTGTTTCTATATATAATATGTATAGATATTGAATTTTTTTTTGTACGTTGATGACCCATGTTATTGGTGAGATACGTTCGAAGCCTGTTTTCGGACAATTTAAGACTGTATACATTGTATCATATCATCTGTCATCCTAGCTCATTTATATTTTTATCTGCTCTTTCTTCATCCCATCAGCATGACTAAGCGTGTGTGAGTGGCAGATTTGTGGAGATTGAATATGTCATGCATGCATGTCGTCAGAGTGTGCCGGTTGTTTAGTAAGTGCGAGTGAGTTTTGTCCGAGTGTGTTGTCTAAATGTCTTTTAGTCTGTTGGCTGACATGGATATCCATATGTTTGTCTTCAAATAAAAATTTGATACAACACTATAATTTGTTTTGCTTCATTTGTTTTGTTTCATTGTTAATGTACATGCATTTGAAATCTTAAACGAGTTTTCATTTCCTGCGAGATTTTATAAAAAGATTGTCTTACTAATTAGAAATTTTTATTTTTGCAAGACTTGGCAAACATGAAAACTTCGAGAAAAGTTTCATGAAATATCACATAAAAGGAAAAGAAACGTAAGATACTTTTTATTTCATAATTTAGAAAAATGACATTTTGGCCGATTTAAAGTCAAAATATGGATAACAAATAAAAGGCAGCCATTTTGTTGCTCCGTTTTCATTTCATGTCATTGTCCATGTTATGACATCACAATAAATTTTTGATTGCTGCAACCAATGAATAACCCTTCAGGGTATAGTGCACTAGTGACATACTAATAACACTGATAATGGACGCATTACATAATAAAACAAGTTCTACAGCTGTGCAATGCAAACAAAAACAGTATTTGTCTATGTTGTATCCAATTCTAAATTTGTATAAAAGGCAATATATTCACTTTGTACATTTTTTTTTAATCTTCATCAATCGGAACACAAAGTATTCAGCATCATAGTTGAAGTTGTATGCAGCTTATTTTTTGCCATCACTGTTTGTCTGTCGTCAATTCTTAACCAACTTCCACGCAAGACGCCTCATATTTCTATGGTTCCAATTTGCTGTTAGATGTAGCACCCTGTGAACAGTCAGACATTTTGCTGCAGAATCTGTGTAGTAGGTGATGGCCACCTCACTGAACAACATGCAGGAGGCCTGTTGCATACTACTTACAGAAATCAATGCTGTGTTTTTCTCAAAGGACATCACCACAACAATGACCACAGGACAGTCTGTAGGGCCTGGTAGAGGAAATCCTCCACAATGGATTCTATTTGCTGAATCTTTCAATACTTTCCATGTTCATAACAATAAAATCAGACTTTATAGATAAGTGTATCAGAATGGGCTTTAGCAAACTCATACAAGACACAAGATTGATACCAAAAGTAGATTTTTACTCGTAAACCTAATGCAATAGTTACATTCATTTTGTGTGACACCTGGCAGTTACATTAATTAGGATATTTGATTTAAAGGGTCTAAATGGTTATATTTTGTTATTTTTCCCAATGCGTTTGATTTCAGGGAAGCATTGTAATACTTAAAATTAGACTCTTCACAAAATTATAACACTCTCTGAGAGAAATTGATAAAGATTACCATTTTCAATTTAACGCTAGTCGACACTCACTGTAGGTGTCTACGTCCCATCACGGTTTTGATCAGAGATAGCAAAGTTCATCATGTGACCTTTCGGAGCCTCGTTTTAACCGCCGGTTTGATATGATTTCTTATTATGTATAAAAATGTAATTACCTGAAAATTAATTTGCCAGCCATGTCTCAATTCTTACTTTGTAAAATGACCCCTTGTTTCATGATATACGCGTGACAGAGCAAAATAAATTAATTTGAATTAATCTGAATCTAAAATTGCATGCATAAAAGCATTATTTACACTCTGAATGATAATGATATGAATTAGTGTTGGATTGCTCCTATTTTATTTGAACTTTTTGATGTTGTCAATAAAATGGTGATGCAAACTTTAAAAATATTATAATTAACAGAAAGAACTAAATTTTTAACAGATATTTAAATGTTATATTGCTTTTCCTCAGTTATGATATGAATATCTAACCATTTAGTTCCTTTAAACTCAAAGGGAAATTACAATAATATGAAAGATTTACTCATAGACCCTTAAAAAGTGCAGAAATGATTAGAAGCATTTCAAAAGGAAAAGCATCTGATTCATTGACAACACCTGTGATACAGATCTTATGTCATTCTCAGACAAACAACATAATAACAGGCAAACCTGCCCGGCATGATTATTATTGCAATATCATTGTAGCTGTTAAATCACCTGGGATCCGTGAGTAATTATTTTTTCGTTATATTTACACTAATGAAAAATAGCACAAAATTCAATACCAGGCAAGCATTTTCACAAATTTCTGAAAATGATACATCATTTGCCAGTATACATGGACACAAATTATAGACATGTTCATAAATTGTATATCTAAAACTAAAAATGCAGTAGCGTAACTTTGATCCCGATGAACAAAATAAAATTGGAACACACAGGAAATACTAGCAATGCAATGAAACAACTTCACAGTATGTAACATGTAAAATCACTACAGAAA